CATTAAGGTTTCAAGGCTGACGTTTGGCAACTCGAACCTTCAGCTCCCTCCACAGATTTTCTATGGGATTAAGGTCTTGAGCCACTCCTTTGTTGCCTTGGCCATGTGTTTGGGTCATTGTCATGCTGGAATACTCATCCACGACCCATTTTCAATGCCCTGGCTGAGGGAAGGAGGTTCTCACCCAAGATTTGACGGTACATGGCCCCGTCCATCGTCCCTTTGATGCGGTGAAGTTGTCCTGTCCCCTTAGCCGAAAAAAAACCCCAAAGCATAATGTTTCCACCTCCATGTTTGACGGTGGGGATGGTGTTCTTGGGGTCATAGGCAGGATTCCTCCTCCTCCAAACACGGCGAGTTGAGTTGATGCCAAAGAGCTCCATTTTGGTCTCATCTGACCACAACACTTCCACCCAGCTGTCCTCTGAATCATTCAGATGTTCATTGGCAAACTTCAGACGGGCATGTATATGTGCTTTCTTGAGCAGGGGGACCTTGCGGGCGCTGCAGGATTTCAGTCCTTCACGGCGTAGTGTGTTACCAATTGTTTTCTTGGTGACTATGGTCCCAACTGCCTTGAGATAATTGACAAGATCCTCCCGTGTAGTTCTGGGCTAATTCCTCACCGTTCTCATGATCATTGCAACTCCACGAAGTGAGATCTTGCATGGAGTCCCAGGCCGAGGGAGAATGACAGTTATTTTGTGTTTCTTCCATTTGCGAATAATCGCACGAACTGTTGTCACCTTCTCACCAAGCTGCTTGGCAATGGTCTTGTAGCCCATTCCAGCCTTGTATAGGTCTACAGTCTTGTCCCTGACATCCTTGGAGAGCTCTTTGGTCTTGGCCATGGTGGAGAGTTTGGAATCTGATTGATTGATTGCTTCTGTGGACAGGTGCCTTTTATACAGGTAACAAGCTGAGATTAGGAGCACTCCCTTTAAGAGTGTGCTCCTAATCTCAGCTCGTTACCTGTATAAAAGACACCTGGGAGCCAGAATCTTTCTGATTGAGAGGGGGTCAAATACCTAATTCCCTCATTAAAATGCAAATCAATTTATAACATTTGTGACATGCGTTTTTCTACATTTTTGTTGTTGTTATTCTGTCTCTCACTGTTCAAATAAACCTACCATTAAAATTATAGACTGATCATTTCTTTGTCAGTGGGCAAACGTACAAAATCAGCAGGGGATCAAATACTTTTTTCCCTCACTGTAGGTGTGTGTGTCTGTAAGGAAGCGGTAGTGCAGTGGTTAGTACACTTCAATGAACCCGGTGACCTGAATTCGATTTCTGCTCATGGCCAACATCAGTGGTGAGTTTTTGAACGTGCCCTCTCGTGGATTATTCAGCCATGATGCATTGTGTAAACATCATCACTGGAAGACAAAGGGGGCCAGGCGTGGTCCTGGCTACATCAGCTTATGTGATGTGCCTGCCTTCATAGGTGCTTGCTTAACAGTGCTTGCCACAACAACCTGTATAGGCTATACGATGGATAATTCTATTTCTGTAGGTGTATCTAGTAGGTGTGGGTTGGGGTGTGTAAAGAAGTGTTTGTGCTTGCCTTAGGGGTCAGCTTTCAAGTATGTGCATGTGTGTTGCAAAGTATTGGAATGTGTTAGGGGAGTGGTGGCGCAGTGGTTAGCGCACTGCTCTTTGGACATGAATCCAATTCCTGTACATGGCTGTCATGAATTGTGAATTATATCTGAACCAGTATTGGGCAGCTCTACGTTCTCAACAAAACTTAACTGACCAGCGTGGTGAAATGTGGTTAAATAACCACTATGGCTGACAACATGGAGATTTAACAAAGGGCTGTACATTTTTATCTAAATTTAATATAAAGGAATAGTGGGGCCTTATAGGTGATTGCTAACAGCACTCAACCCTCGAATCCATAGCTGGGGGACTCTGCATGGTTATTAGTAACCGTAAAACATTGTGTCGAACCTGTACATTAACAGCTAAATGCATGTATATAGCCGCACTAGTGACTGGTAGTGAGCCTTGTTCGCATTCTGTCGTTTTTAGCATCACACTCTAAAAGAAGTGGTTTCATTTTATGATGATGGTAATGGAGTTATTATGTTTGTAAGAGTCTAGAACTTTAGGCTGACCATTCTCTATGATTCAAATCGGTAAATCTCTGGGCCAAATATTGTGGGTGTCCAAATTTGAAAATTCTCAGTTTCAGATTTTTCCAGCTATAGCTATAACCTCTACAATACATATGCCAAATTGTAGCTTTCTAGCCTGTCCAAAATATTTTCAATTTACATCACTCCCAATTGCCTTTACGTGTTAGATGTGTTCTCCTAGTCATTATCGATGTTTATTATTTAGGAGATGCAGTTGCATTTAGATGCTATATAAATCAAAATGATGATTATTATGTACTCAACTCACGATTTTAAGGTTGCGAGTTCAATTTTCAGACAGGTTTATTCATTCCCATCAACATCATAACCATTATCGATCATCGTCATGGTCATCAGTATCTTTGTCATGGTCATCATCATGATCATTATTATCATGATCTTCATTGTCATCACAGTTATCACCAGGATCATCATCATCATAACCATCGTCAGCATCATCACCATCCCTGTCAGGGGTAAGAGGAATGTGAAGTTTCCACCAGTGGCTCGGAACTGCCAAAGTGGGTACAGTCCAATGCTCAACAGACCGTGGAGACCCTTGACATTTATGACAGTAACTTTTTGTTCCGTGGCTGTTGAGTCCATTGTGCATGCGTTCTGGCAGTATGCGTAGACTACATGTTGGTGTTTTATGCCTGTGTGCGCCCACTCATCGTTATGGCCAACAACATTGGCAAATATCTGAACCGGTCCTGAGCTGGCCGTGTTGCTGGCCACATCAATAACTCGTATGCCATGCTGGCCTTAATAGGTGCCCACTAACAGCACTTGCCCGAACAGCCTATAAAAGCTATTCAGGGGATCTTTGGTACTAGATATGTGCGACGTGATTCCTTGTGTATATTAACAGCTGTGCTTTTTTCAAGTTTTCCACGGGCTGACCTTTGCTCCGTCCTTGGGTCTATCCATGTCTAACCATGTGTGAAACATAAGGGTTTCTGGTTGACTCCTGCAGGTACAAATTGGATGGCTGGGTCATGTAGCCCATATAACTCAGCCACCGCATGCCCGAGCAGCTTCTGATTTGCTGGATAAAGTGAGCTAAACAAGCCCTATATGGGTTAGAAAATAGAGGGCAGGAAGTGGTATAGGGAGACCTGGAGCTGAATGTATTTTTTCGACAGCGAGTATCAGCAATGTCAAGATCGGCCTGCGTGTGTGGAGGAGGCTCGTGAAGGATGATACTGGGTGGATGGTGGCAGCCACCCTCCAGCAACAAAAGTAGGCAGAGGAGCAACGTTCACTGAGCCGTTGCGCAGTTAAAAGACATCGAGTGACAGTGGCAGGGGGCACAGGGACACATTTGGCTTGGATTCTATCTGTCTGCCAATTCTGCCTGTCCTATACACCCCCCCCCCACTCCCCCATGTCAGCAAGGCTCCATCACTACATGTGGCCTTGTTTTGTACAAAATTTGGCAGAGGCGCAATGCTGACATCACCACCGATTAGCGTTTTAGCTCTGAAGCTCTGACTAAGGGTTGCATTGTGTGTGCGTATGTATTGTGTATTTGTGTTTATATAAAATGTGAATGCACGTGTTGTGTTTTTTTGTGTTTGCGTGAACATATGAATTTGTGTGTTCTGATGTGGTTTTTGTGTGCATTGAAGTGTATGATTGTGGATGCGTGCAAGCACGCATGTGAGTGTGTGTGTGCGCGCGTGTAAATTAAGCCGCTCTGCTCTCTGAATAATTTATTTAGGTTGAGGCAGCTTAGTGAGAAATCTATAGTGCGTGTGCATGGATGACAGTTTTCGTACGTGTGTGTGTCTGTGTGTGCATGGATGCGAGCGTGTACTAATGTGTATGTGTGTATGGAGGCTATTGTGTACAAGTGTGTATGTGTTTATGGATGTGAGTGGGTACAAGTGTATGTGTGTGTGTGTTCTTGGTGGTGCAATTGTTATCGCGCTGCGCTACAAACTGGCAACCTGAGTTCGATTCCAGCTCACGCCCAAGACCGGTGGCAATTATTTGAACCGGTCCTGGGCCTCCACTAGGTCGACTCAGCCTCAAATGTCTACCTGGTGCTGTATGTAAACATTGCTGCGAGACAAAGGCGGCTCGGCATGGTGCTGGCCACCCATCCCTCGTGTGCTGTGCTGACCTTCATAGGTGTCCAATAGCAGCACTTGCCTCCAAAAGTGTGATAAGGCTATAAGGGGAGCTTTGTCTTCATGTTCCTGCATGTGTGTGCTTGTTTGTGCTTATCTGTGTATGTTGGTGTGTGATGCATGTAACACGTGTAAGTAGGTGTTTATGTAAAAGTGTGTTTAATTGTGCTTGTGATCATGTGCATATATTTGTACATATCATAAATGTGTATAACCATGACTGTTGATGAGAGTCAGAAGGTATACACCAGTCTTACGTTCTTTTTTAACAAGTTTGAATGGATAATGTTAACTTGGGTAAACCGCTGGAGCAACAAACTAAAATATATTTAACTTTTACAGTGCGAGACGACCGGAGGTCTTTTCACTTTGTCATCGATAATTTTCCATGGCAGTGGATCGTGAGTTCTACATGTGTATGGTATATCTGAATGCCTTGTCGTGTGCCCGCATTCACTGCCGCCTCCCTCCATGTCTCCCGGTGTCCTCCCCCTAACCCTGCGTTCTTGTGTTTGCTTGTCCCTTCTATCTTCCCATGAACCCGCGTTTATCTGTGTCTTCCTGTGTGTGTCTGTCTGCCTGTACCCCCTGTGTGCCCCCTCCTGCCTGTGCCGTCCCCCATGCCACCCCACTGTGTCTCCCCATCCGTCCCTCCCCCGTGTCCCATCATGTGTCCCCTGTATCACCCCCGTGTCCCCTCACCGGGTCCCCGAGCCAGGCGTGGCGGCGCCGCTGGTTCGTACTGCGCCAGGAGGAGCTGCTGTATTTCCGCAATGACCGCGCACGCAAGCCGATCCGTACCATCCCCCTCTCCGCCTGCCTGCAGGTCGACTCTGGCCTCGCCTTCAGCAAGGTGGAGCGGGGGCACTGGAGGTGTGGGGGGCAAGAAGGGTTACAGGGGTCGTGGACAGCACGGGGAGACGTAGTGGGGTGTTCTGGGGGAGACAGGAGTGTGAGAGGTAGAGCTGTCACGAGGAATCAAGTGGACGTGGAGAGAGGGGGGCACAAGAGCGTGTGAGACGCAGAGGAGGTCACAGGTACTATGGGAGTGTGAGGCCTAGGGGGGAAGGATGCACGCACCCATGTATTCACAATTGCACACGGCACGCACTCACAACGTTGTGTGTGTGTGTGCAGGATGGGGCTAAGGGCAGCTTTGTGTTTGACGTACGCACGGAAGCACGCACCTTCTACCTGGTGGCCGAGAGCGAGGAGGAGATGGTGGCCTGGGTCCGTGCGCTCTGCTCCCTCTGCGGCTTCAATGAAACTGCACAGGGTGCGCACGCACACACACATGTATGCATACACTGCAACTAAAGTTCAACTATGCATTTTTCCTGCAATAACATTGGAGAGGATGACCCAAAGTCTACTAAGGGCAGAAAAAGTGGAGAGAGTTGACAGCCAAGGAGGCCCTACGACCGTTGATGGGATTGATGATTAATGTTGCTCGCAAAAGTGTTGTTATCTGTGTTGCTCCCTTAACAAAGGCTGCAACACTGGAGAAAGTTTCATTGGGATTTTTAAATTATTTTCTTGTTGCCAATGCAGCAAGCACCGATTTGACTGGATGTGGTCATGTGGCCATCATGGCAATGCTAATTTCAACATGGTCGACTTTTTATGCATAACAGTGTAGATATTAGTCTTTATTTATTTGTTTGTATATGTAGCTGAGTAAGCACCTTTCTTTGCATAAATTCCCTGTAAGGCTCTCTTGGTCGGGCCAGCTTGCCAAGGCAAGAGGGGAGGGCAGGGATGGGCCTTGGCCTCTACTTTATCATACATAAACATTCACCGTCATTGAGTTAATTTGTGTTGCAAAACAGACACAACAAGGTTTCAGTGTTTAATCTAGGATGTTGCACGACATTTGCACAATGCAAAATTAAGTGCAGGAAGGTTGCATCGGTTAACTTTAGCTTTGCACGTGCACTTACACATGTACAAAGACAAAGATCTTCCTGTAGCCGGGTGGGGCGGTAATGGTGCACGCCTGTAATCCAGCACTGAAGATTAATGTTGGGAGAACACACCAATATCGTGAAACTCGCTTCCCGTGAGCATCAAAGTTGCCATACCCTGGCTTGAAGGGAAATGGCAGTACAGCAAGTGGATTCATCTCCATCTGTTTCCATCCATACGGGGAGAGAGTGGTTCCTCCCTCGCGTGTGTGGGTATTCTCCAGGTACTGTGGTTTCCTCCTTTTGTGTAGGAACTCTCATTAATTGGCCGAAAAAACATCTTAATATATAGAGAACCATAGAGCTTGTGCAATTGTTGGTGCCACCTGGCTACCTTATCGCTTGTCTGTGGTTTCTTGTGCCGCTGAGTTGTTCTCGGTCTTTGAGAACGAGAAAAAACTGCGTATTACAAGTCTAAAGTCTTATTGTTTTTAGGCTTTTGGGGAAAATGCTGTTCGCGAGCTCCTATTATAAGGCTGTCATGGCACTCGAAGGGGTGGCACACTACTGATTGACTATCTCTCCCATGCTGTTGTTTACACACCACACTGGGTACTCCTTTAAGGCTGAGTCAACCTCACGGAGGGCTAATACCGGTAAAAAAACATTTGGCACTGATATTAGCTGAAGCCGAGATTCTGACTGATGGCCAAGTTTGTAGTACAGTGCACTGACCACTGCATCACTGCTCCCCACTTATGCATGTACACTCACTTACGCAAATGCATACCGGTGCACGCGCGCAGTCAATAACTGCTGTTCCCCATGTAGATTATGGAATTTTCTTCACAGCACTCGTGCCAGGCTAGATGTATTTTGACTCGTTGGTACAAACTCACTGGACAGATCCAGGTGCTGTGGATTAACAAGGCTCAAGTTATTGATAGATGCATGCAAACTCTCGCACACATCAATACAAACATAAAGAGCCCCTTTATAGCCATTTAGACCACTGGGAAAGTGCTGTTAGTGAGCACCTATTTAAAATCTGAAACGGCACACAGGGGGGTAATTTGGTCAGCACCACACCCAACCACCTTCATCTCCCCAGTGGCAAGGTTTCCTCACTGCCTCAGGTACTCATTTAAGACTGAGTAAACCTCGGGAGGAAATATGATAGGTTGAAACACTTCTGTCCACGGTCGGAAATTAACACCAGGTCTCCAGATTCATAGCCTACTGTCCTAATCGTAGTGTCACCATGTATAGATATATGCATATATACATACATGCATATATCTATACATACATATATGCATTTAAACATATATCTATACATACATATATACATACATATATATACATATATGTATATATCTATACATACATATATACATATGCATACGTGCATATGTACGGCCCTTTCGTCAATCCCCTGCTGAATGAAGGCCATTCTGCACTTGTGCCTGTTGGGGGGGGGGGGGTTATTTGATCATTCTTCACCATGCTGGTGAATGCGGGTTCGTGAAAGCAGAGAACATAGACCTAAAATCATAGAAGTACAGTTTCAAAATGGTTCAACATGGTGCCCCGCAAGCCCTATGAACACCTGATTTTTGCATAGTCGTCACCCATCCAGGTACTTTGTAGGCTCGCACTGCTTAGATTCTCCGAGTTGATACACTAGGAAAGATTCCAGGTCGTCATAGACACACACAGACATACACTCGGAATGATACATTGCGGCCAAGTCCATTGGGTGAGGGCTCGCGGAGGAAACTTGGTTAGTCTGGGTTGACAGACAGGAATGGTTAGATTCCAACCCAATTCAAACCCACTGCCCCCCCCCCTCTGCCCCCTGGCCAAAGCTCCTCGCTGTGCTTTTTATTATCCACCAGATATTCTGTTCATTGTTGTTAACATTGCCTCTCCCCCCACCTTTTGTTGTTGCTTGCTTGAGGACAGCAGTTGTCAAATGCTGAGTAGTGTTTTTCACAATTCCCTTCAACAGAAGATTATCCCAACACCATATGAATGATGAGGGACTGAACAGAGAATGATGGCTGTACTGTACTGATGATTCGTAACAAGGTTTGAACCAGTGTACAGTTATTTCATTGTCCTACTGCTACCGAAAACTGTACAATGACAATTTTAAATCGTAGTGGCCTTATTGCTGTTGTGCATGGTGCACAAAGTATGGTGACGTTATGTAGCATGAAAAGGATGCTGGGATGACCGAGCTTATTGTCACATGACTACTTTTTGCCATCTACAAATAAACGTTTGTGCATAGTATTTGCACTTATACTGGACGGCCCAGCCTACACAAGCGCACACCTATGGGTGGGAATACTGTGGATTTATATAGGGTGTAATTGCGCCCACATCCCAGACTGCTGTACAGAAACTGGGCATTCATTTCATATAGAGGCCGTGAAAAGAGGCTCTAGAATTGCCCTCATGAAGACGCCCCAAGACTCGTTGATGCTCATATTCCTGTCCCGGCTCCCTCTCTCTGGGGCCTATTGATATTTGTCCAGGGCCCCAGTTGCTTTTGCATTTGGCTGTGCCCCAGTGTCAATCTCTCTATCCCCCGCTTCTGTGCCCTGACCCCCACCCCTACACTACACTTTCTACTCTCATAATTTCATTTGTAAAGCATCCTGAGATGCGATTAGATGCTGTTTAAAATTGTTGATGTTGGAATCCCTCAATCCTTGGTGAGCCTTATGCCCTTTTGTTGGATTTTGGCAAGGGTATCGCGTTTCTAGGAAGCTAAGCAGGGGACACACGGTGAGCTGGCAACTCTTTCCTCCGTCAACCCTGTTCACTCTTCAATAGCAAAGTCCACTGTTTCTAGCACAACCCTCACAGCGAGTGGCCTCGCTCTTCATGATATCGGCTCTGCCTGCTTGCTGCTCATTACGTCCTGGCCCACTCCTCCAAAAACCAACCCTGCCCCACTACTCAAGTAGTCCCACCCTATGCATGTGAAAACGCTGGACTGCAAGGGGTTGTTCTGTTCTGTTTACGTAACAAACCTTACGAATTGGCTTTGTCGGGTGGTGGCGGGTTTAACGACACATTTATATATTCACGCGATCTAACCCCCCCCCCCAAAAAAAATCTATATTATGGATGATATTGGTCGTGAAAGCCTACGTGTTAAACTGGGGGTTGTTTGATAGCCTCAGATTTGGGAAATGTTACGTTGTGCTTCACGAGTGTGTGTGTGTGTCTCTCTCCCTGTCCAGGGAACGAACTGGAGGCCGGAAACCAAACCGGCCAATCGGACGCCGGACCCCAGGCCCCACCCTCCCAGCCGCCACACCTTGCCGAGGGCACGCCCATCTCCTTGCAGCCAACGGCGACGCAGCCTGAGGCCACGCCCCCACTCCACCGGTCAATGGGAGCCGGGGGAGGCAGGGTCAACGGGCATCGCTTGGGCAACGAGGAGCCCAATGGCTACCTGTGTCTGTACGACTGTGAGAGCCGGATCCCTGACAATCTGTGAGCACAACGGTTGGGGGTGGGGTGATGGCGGTGGTGGCAGTGGAGAGTTGTGGTGATGGTGGTGTTGCTGGTTGTGGTGGTGTTGATGGTTGGCACAGTAGGGGACACAGGTGGTGCACCGGGCCAGTCGCATCAGTCGACCCATGGAACCTGGGTCTGCCCCGTGACCTCCTGCCAGCGGGCGTTCGACACTTCACGTGGCCTCAACGTGCACGTAGCCTGGCACAAGCGCCGTGGTGGTGTCACCGCTGAATGGCGGTTGTTTTTTGGCGTTGATGGTTGTGGAGAACGGTAGTGTAGTGGTTCGTGCACTGCGTTACAAACCTGGCAACCCAGGTTCGATTCCCGCTCACAGCCACCACCAGTGACGATTATCCGAACCGTTCCTGGACCTCCCCTAGGTCGACTCAGCCTCAAATAAGTACCCGGTGCGGTGTGTAAACATCGTCACTGGGGAGACAAAGGCGGTCGGGCGTGGTACTGGCCACCCACCCCCTCGTGTGCCGTGCCGGCCTTAATAGGGTGCTCGCTAACAGCAATTGCCCCAACAGTCTGTTCCAGGCTATACAGAGGATCTTTGATGTTGGTGGAAGTGGTGGCAGTGGTGATGATTGTGGTATTGTTGATGGCGGTTGTGATGGAAGTGGTAATAATTGTAGTGTTGATGGCGGTTGTAGTAATGATGCTGTTGGACGATGATTGTGGTGTTGAGTGTTGTGTGATGGTGGAGGTGATGAAAGACATGGTGGTGATTGATAGCGGTACTGGAGATACATTTTGAATTGTAATGCATCTAAATGCAACCGCATCTACAAACGCTTTACAAAAAAAATAGATGCATTATAAGTTTTATTATGATACAAGGGGAAGAGAAAACGTATATTGATGGAAATGGTTGGTCATATTACAGGAGAACAGCAAAAATCTTAAGCCAGCCTGGATTGGGAGTTAGCCATGTGGATGGCCAAAGGGAGGGAGTTCCAGACTACATTGGCAGCAATGAAGGATGAGTGACCTCCCAGATTAACTGGATGCTTTGACAGAAGACCTTGGCAGCTGGAACAGAGAACATGTGGAGGAAAGTAACTGCGAGATTAGAGGGGAGAGGAAGGTAGGCGCTATAACATTCACGAAGGTGGTGGTTGAGATGACATTGGTGCTTTTGGCGATGAAGGAAATCGAGATGGGAACATTCTTGAGATTTTGTGGTGGAGATGTTGCTGGATATGACACCGATACTAATGATATTGATGAGGGTGGTGAGGTTCGTGACAATTGTGATGTTTTCATTTTTCAGGCAAAGTGATGTTTCCGATCAACTCTACTCCGTGCCGCGCCGCTATAACCTGCCAGCGACATCACCACCGAGCCCCACCCAGGACGTGCCGTCATCACTGCCATCTCCCACCCAGGAAGTTACATCACAGCCTGAAGGGACATCTCCACCCCCATCGCGGTCTGATCCTGACCAAGAAGCTATGTCACCCCCAAAGACAGGGAGCTCACAGGAAGTGACATCGTCATCACGGCTCTCCTTTCAGTGCTACGACATCCCACCTCCTCCTTGCCAGGTGATGGAGCTAACGCTGGTGATGTTGGTTATGTTGATGGTGGTAGTGGGTACAGGTCTACTCTCCAGGTGAACATGAGGCCGTGAAGAGACACTTGCTCTGGAAGGCTGCCTCTCCTCCACCTGCTCCTATAAGAGGGAAGGGCTCCACCTTCCTCACTTTTTTCTCGTCACTGCCCATGTAAATGCCGCTGTTACACCAGTTTGTCAGCCCTTCAATCTTTACCTTTTACCCCCTTGTTCTCATCGACAATGGATAGGCCTTGTGCAGCTGTCACACCTTCACCTTAAATGGCCTCTACCTGGTGGGAGGACTTGGCGCCTTTCATCCGGTCTTGAAGTTTGGCTGCAAGCGGGTGGAGTTGGGGAACGCACCCAGGTGGTGTACCAGCATAGAAACAGGATGCATACACTGTAGCTCAGAGGGAAATTCAGAACACCCTGGGCCCTTACCAGGGGGCAGTCTCAGGAAAATTAGGTCCCCATCCATTCAAGTATAGCTACTGGAGTGGAAATTATCAACCGCCGGGGCTCACCTCATTTTCATAGGTTGATGAAAATGACCTGGCAGATGTACAGGCGTTGTGGCATTGTGCAACCGGCCGTTTATCTCAAGGACCTCTCCCACCCACACCACAGGTTGGTTGAACAAGGGACGGTTGGTGGGAACTTGGACCGAGAGGCATTCAGGATTATTGTTTGCCCACTGGGTCATTGGAGATGATGGATGGATGGAAGGCTGGTATAATGTCCACAATAGTCATCTGATTTTGTGCAATAAGTGATGGAAGGCAGAGCACCAGGTGGATATGGAGTTGCGGCAGCATTCAAAGGCTTCTCTTTGCATGGTCTGGTGTTCATCTGGAGATAATACTGAATGAGGGGGCTGCCAAGGCATACAAACTTTATCTTACATGGGGATGGTGATTGTGGCAGCATTAATGTTGATGATGCCGTACAAATTAAAATAATAATTATTGTGTGTGTGTTCATGTAGGTGGCGTCAGGCTTCTGCGGAAAGCTTTGGACAAATTCTGGATCTCGTGATTCAAAGGGTATACCTACAGTCACAGACACACACACACGTGCATAAATGCATGGGTGTCATTATTTTTGCTCACAGATGTGTGTGTCCCCACAGATGCGGCTGAAGAAGAGGTGGGGTTCGACTGCTACGATGTGCCGAAGGGCTGGGACAGTCCGAAGGTAAAGCCACGTTGGGACAATTGCTGTTTAGCGAGCACCTGTTTAAAGCCAGCGCAAGAGTGGATGGTTGTGGATGATTGTGGCCAGCAACAATCCTGGCCACCTTATATTCTCAGTGCTTTTGTTTTTCATACTAACCACACCGGGTACTCGCACGCCACACCAGGTACTGAAGGCTCGGTCAAACGAAGGGAGGCCCAGGATACATTTTGATAACGCTCGCCAAGGATATTAGCTGTGGCTATAAATCATACGGAACTCAGTGCGCTAAACAGTGTGTAACCATTCCCCACACGATGACACGTGCACACCCGTACACATGCATTTCTGTGTGTGGTGAAGTGGTGTGTGTGTGAGAGCAGTATGCCGCAATCCTGATGAAAAGGGTTTGATTCCTGGCTACAGTGTCCATCAGTGGCAATTGGAATCTCGACCTGGGCTGTGGCCTCTCCTATGGCAACGCCAATATGTCAACATCAGCCACAGAGAGATGATGTCAATGTCAGAGAAAGGTCCCTTCCCAGGAATTAATATTGGTTCCCCTTCCAAATATTTGTACCACTTTAGTTTTTTGTTACAAGGTAGATCTGTCTTTGTATTTAACTCTATATCCATGCATTTTCAGCCCAAACTTTTATTTTCTGACGAGTTCCCTAAATTATTTTTAAACAGTTTCTCTATATGTATGTACTTTACAATGGACCAATAGTAAAGTAGCACTTAAACCAAGCCCAAATTAATGTTCAGTGGTGGGAACAAATATTTTTCCCCCTGAGGTTACAAATATTGACCAATTGTTCCTGGGGGGAAAAAAACATTTCGGGGAACCAATATTTGCTGACACCACGTACTCGTGGACCATGACAGCCGGAATAGGTAATCATGAACAGCACTTGTTCCAATGTTCTGTAAAGATAATTGTGGCATTCTTGTGTGTGTGCGCGCGCACGTGTGCACATGCGCACATTTAGCCCGGACCCAAGAACCGCCAGGACCTGAGCCCCCCGGAGAATTACGTAGCCATGGAGACCAGCAGTCGGTCCCCATCACGCTCTGTCACTATGGAGACCTGTGGGCGATCTGTCACCCTGGATACTAGCAGCCGGTCCTCATCACGCTCTGTCACCATGGAGACCGGCGGGCATTATGTCGAGATCAGCAGTCGCTCCCACTCGCGCTCCGTCACCACGGAGACGAGTGGACGCTGGTCTCCGCTGCCTGCCGGATCTGGCTCCGTGTTTGGATCTACATCAGCTACTGCTACGAAACCCGGAACGGAGGTTGGACTAGATGGGGCCGGAGGGGGCCCTGGGGGACGGAGGACAGGGGCCATGCGAGCGAGCAGCGTGGGGACGCGCGGGGCTGCGCTCGGGGGGGTCGTGCCCCCGCCGGCCCACATTGGGTTTAGGAGCAACCCCAGCACACTGGAGGGCGGGTCGCCACGCACACCGCGCGCCCTCCAATCGCCGCGCACGCCACGCGCCCTCCAATCACCGCGCTCGCCACACTCGCCCCGCACGCCACGAACTCCACAGACACTCCAGGAGGGACCGCCAGTCAACAGGGAACTAAAGCCCAACCGGTCAGGTGAGGGACTGTGAGAGTGTATGAGAATGTGTTGACCACACCACACTGCGCACTGTGGTCACCTTGAAAGGTGCTTGCTAAATAAATTTCCCCAACAATCTATAAAGGTTATACTTGGAGAAATGTGAGTGCTTATGTAATTGAATCTTGACTTAAAGCTTTCGTGACTGCAGGGATTCATACTCTTTGGGTCTTTCGGTAAAATCACGTAGATAGAAAAATAATTTAAAAATCACGACGTTTCGATCGCAACACAAGCAATCGTCTTCAATTGAAAAAATAAAGCAGGCGGACTGCTGAGGCAGGAAGAAATATAGCGAGGGAGCTGCTGCAGCAAGAGGGTAAGTGGGTGGGGCTAGAGATTGAATTAGTAAGTAAATGTAAGATCGCAGAGCCAGATATACCTCGGCCATTGTATTGCTAGAGATTAGCATGTCAATCTGTTAATGTAACCCCACGACTACAGTGCTGAAGAAGCCATTGTATTGCTCGAGATTAGAGATTGGCATGTCAATGTGAGACGGCTCCCACAGCAGCGGCTGTGTTAACGAGAGAGACATTCAGCCTATTAAACAATGAGCGCCACCGCCGCATCGAGGAAAAGGGAGCAGCAGCTTTATAACCTATGGCTGCAGTAGCTTTCTCGCTATATTTCTTCCTGCCTCAGCAGTCCGCCTGCTGTATTTTTTCACTTGAAGACGATTGCTTGTGTTGCGATCGAAACGTCGTGATTTTTATTTTTCTATCTACGTGACTTTACCGAAAGACCCAAAGAGTATGCTTCTGTAATTGTATAGTAAACATGAGAAATGTATCATTATCAAGTCAGAAACTAAGAAACAAGAGTGGTACCCAGCTTAGACTAGCTTGGACAAGCTGAAAGAAAGTTGACTGATAGAAGAGAGGAAACCCCCGTCGGAATAAAGGTGATGAATGTGGAAGCACCAGGGCGGACACCAAGAGACGGGCCGAGAAAGAGATGGTTCCAAGTGGGGAATCAGAATACAAAGGACACTGCAGTGGAGATGGAAACGATGGCCCAAGAATGGGTTGAGTGGAGAAAGAGGATCAGGAAAGTAGGCCCCACACGAGTGAGACAATTCCAGGAAGGAGAGTAAGTGCAAAGTGTATACAGATGGCTACATATGGTGCAAAAAAAGTTCAGCATACATACATACATACATGGGCACGTGTGTACATGTAACGTGTATATGCGCATGTGCTTATTTGGTGCCCTCAGGCCGGAGGCCACCCCCCCTCGCACTCCAGTCCGGGATTGGTGAAAATGGAGATCTCCCCCCGCCAGAACCCTCCCCCATCACCAAGACTTTCACACGCCCTGGGTAAGTGCGTTCACACGGGCACACACATACTCTGGAAGGGACACACAAATGACACGTACACAATGGGTACACACAGGTATACGCACATGAATAAACACACACATAGATACGCACACAGGTACATTCACATGGACTCAAAGACAGACCCCTCGTATGGCCGTTACAAACTGTTGGGACAAATAGACCTGTGAAGGCCAACATATCACATAAGGGGCTGTTGTGGCCAGCACCATGCCAGCACCACAAGGACACACATATACAGACAATCACTCACACATGGGTAATCACAAACCTCTACTTGCCTAGTCACGTTCCTTTTCCTAAATAATCACTTGCCTGTTGACTTAAACATGTTGGGTGCAATTCACCTTCTTACTTGGCATTAATCAGATATTCATTAAATTATGATAGGTTTTAGTCAAGATTTGTGACATTTAAATATTCTTCAAATATTGCGTACTTAAAATATCTTGATGTCGTCCAGATCGCCCTTGCAAAGAGACAATGTTTCATGTGGCCCCATGATTTTTGTCATCTGCTGGTTAAAGGAGTCTGGCATACACACGTACATGGGGATGCACATTCACAAGTATGCACAAATATGTTTGTTCACATGTGCACACAGGCGCTGTTGCACACACTTAGATACACACAGGTACACTCACATACACAGGGTTACATTCACACACCAGTGCAAACACACTTGAACAGGTTTATACCCCGACCCCTCTCATGTCATTTTCATACACTTACTTGATTATAATAACGTGTGCTTGTCTAGCTCGCTCCGTTTGGCTGGGCCGCCGCAGCCACGCCCCCCATCCATACATAGTTCCGCCTCCAGCTCCGACTCTCACGATGATGAAGAGGATGAGAGCTACATGGCCATGCAGCCCCCGGTGAGGCTAGCCCGCGCATCCCGCACTGAACTGCATCGCATACATCACAAACATTCACTTACGCTGCATACCACCCACCACAACGACAATAATCCCCCGGATAGCCTACAGAGTGTTGGGGCAAGTGATGTCAACAAGCGCTTAAGGCCTGAAATGCGCACGGAGTGATGCTGTGGCCAGTATCACGCCCAGACACTCATTTAAGGCTGTCTCAATCTATGGGAAGCACATAACCGGTTCAGATGTCACCACTAATATATGTCATGGCTGGAAATCAAACCCAGATCCATCACCGTGGCACCGCTCCTGTACTACCCACCACATAACTACCTCACCTGGTATACAGGAGGTTGTGGGTTCGATTCCGACCCTGACACATGTATATTTGGAGTTTGCGTGTTCTCCCTGTGGTCTCATGGATTTTTCTCTGGGTTCTCCGGTTTTTCCCTCCACATTTAGAAACATGCTTTTAGAGTTTGGCTGCTATACATTTTCACGTGATAAGCCACTTCGTTGATCTATTATTTGTGGCCAGGTCGATTTTGAAAAAGAGCTATATAGCTCCGTGAGCCTTATACCTGGTAAAATAAAAATAACTTAGTTGACATAAACGTCTTACAATATATAACGTACAATGCATACATCACCTACCTGCCATCTGAAACGCCTCATGCCAGGACTGACTTGCACACGAGACTGCCTGTGTCATACCTGACATACCACACATCCTCTCGCGCATTGCATCAAACTCCACGCCCTTTAATACTGACACCACTTACAATACACATCCTGCGCCTTATGCACAACACTGCTTTTTTTGTACACTTGTTTTCTTGCTTACTCTCAGCATTGCTCATTGCATGTGCGGTCATTTATGTCTGTGGTTGTGTGTGTCACTATAGAAGGAACACAACCTGCAATATCTGGATCTAGACCTGGGAAGATCGGATACTGCACCGAGCACGGTACAACGCTAGCCCTGACCTTGACTGTAACACTAACCCTAACCCTATATTTGACTCTTCACACGAATTACAATCTTGACCCCTACTCTCACCATAATTGAACCTCATCCCTTGTCGTGGCCCTTTATTGGTGCTTGCTAATAGCACCTGCGCAGTCTGTGTTTTTTTAAATTGGAATTGGTGGCAGTCACCTGTCTCTCGCTTGTAATTCCACGTCCCTCATGCTAATCAATGTCTGTGTCCACTAACCTACCTCCATGTCATTCATGCCCCCCCCCTATCTCCACTGTGCTTTACTGCACTTTAAAAGTAAGTGAATATACATGAGATTAAGGACACATTACTGTACGTGATAAAATCGCATTTATGAACATCTATAGAAAATGTAATTTACGCCATGCACGGATATTGCACTGAGTGCGAGCGGTGCGTTAGTCATGGCAGGTATGTTGGTTGGATATGTGTTGACTTAAAGCTTTCATGACTGCAGGAATTCATATTATTTGAGTCTTTCGGTAAAGTCACGTAGATGGGTTCAAAGAAAATAACAAAAAGTAAAGATTTAACCGCCTCTACGAGGAGGGATCTTTTAACAAACTTCAAGACAAGAAGGCTCATCTGATCAAGTCGCTCACATGTCTGAAGAGATGCCGCGACACTAAGGTAATACCAATCGCCTTTACACTGACATCTGCTGCTGTCACTTCTCCCAATGCTAAACGGATCTTGTTCAGGGGCTGGCCTAGCCCTGGTCTCAGACTGAATAAGACTGCTCCGATTTTAACTAGACAATTTAGACAAGACTCTCCTGAAATCACACTTAACATTAACGTAAAAAAATGTCTACATCTGATTGGGAACATGTAGATAACATGACAGCCTCTTCAGCCGCCTCAATGTCAGCTAAATGCAAAGATAACTTCATTTCCAAGTTCAACCTCCTTTCCAAGAAGAAGCCAGATCCACGCATCAAAAAGTTAAACGTTGACAAAATTGTTATCAATCAGAGCAACAGTCCAATTTCTGACAGCCTAAAATTGGTTTTAGCCAAAGGGTTGCATTTCGCAGTCACTCCTAAACACATCCCATTTGATGATATCATTGCTCAGGTCGACGTAGCCCTTAATGGTTTGGGACACATTAATGCAGATGTGGCAAGATCGGAAATCGCTGCAATCCTCAAAAACTCTTAAGACACCGATTATCAACATCAGTAAGGATGAGCGCTTTGAGCTTTCTCAATTAAAATAGAGAGATGAGATCGTCATCCTCTCAGTCGACAAGGGCAATGCCACAGTCATCATGAACAAAACCACATACAATAACAAAATTCAGGACCTACTTAATGATGGTAGCTATACCAAAATTAAAAGAGATCCGACCAACCGCCTCGTTATGAAAACCAACAATATCATCACTGATTCGCCATCTTTAATGGAATCAACGAAGCGGTTTTCCTTAAAACCCTCTGCTGCTAGACCACCCAGAATGTATGGCTTACCAAAAATCCATAAAGAAGGTACGCCCCTTCGTCCTTTCGTCTCCACCATTGACTCACCCACCTACAAACTAGCCCGATTTCTGTCTGAGACCTTACAACCATTCACTGGTAAGACCACCTCAGCTGTACTTAACTCAGCTCACTTGGCATCGTTAATTAAATACATCTCACTATCTCCAGGTGATTTGCTCGTTAGTTTCGATGTGGTCTCTTTGATTGTAATGCTTTACACCATTACAATCATTGAAGATTTGGTCCAACAAGGACTGAATGCTGATGTACCGTCCCTGGTGAGACACTGCCTCACCAACGCTTACTTCACCTGGAATGTAATATTCTACAAGGTACCCCAATGGGTTCTCCCTTATCTCCAGTTGTAGCCAATGTTTTCATGGAAAATTTTGAGACAAATGCCATCCAGGCATCCACTCTACGTCCGTCCTTGTGGAAGAGGTACGTAGATGGACACGTTGGTCATCTGGCCACATGGCCAACCAGCTCTGAACCAATTCGTCAACCATATCAATTCTATACACCCAGCCATCAAATTCACCATGGAGGTGGAAAAGGATGGCAAGTTACCATTCTTGATGTTTTAATCGAAAAGAGATCAGATGGCTCAATGGGACACTGTCTACAGGAAAGCCACCCATATGGATGCCTACCTAAAACCTGACTCCCACCACCATCCATCCCAGAATAATTCCCTCATCAAAACTACACCATTGTTTGCATTTTGACTGCTTGTGTTGTGGTTATTGCAAACATGATCACTTGTATAAAGGTGTCAGTTTTGGTGCCAGATAAAAGGGTAAAAACCTATTACTATATCTTGCTACTGGCAAAGGAGGTCTCATAATGTAAATGCTTACCCCGGGCTCTCAATACTCTGATAGTGCGCTGTTTTTGAGTTGTATGCCTTTTGGCATCATCTGGTCCAACACCAGTGGAGACTAGGCTCTAAGAAAAGCCGTCTCGGGTGTGGACCAATCAATTTCAAGGACACTGCATATCATTATCAGAGTTGTTTCTTTTTGTTTGCATTTTGACTGCTTGTGTTGTGGTTATTGCAAACATGATCCCTTGTATAAAGGTGTCAGTTTTGGTGCCAGATAAAAGGGTAAAAACCTATTACTACACAATAAAGCTCAATGTATTTCCGACCATCATCACCTAGCCAGTGAACTGGAACACGTACAACAAGCTCTCAAGACGAATGGATATTCAGACTACATAATCCATAAAGCTATCACCCGAACCGTTGGGAAAGAACCATCAGAGGACCCAATCAAAACCATCACCTTGCCATACATAGCAGGGGTCACCAAAAATATTTCCAAAATCATGAGCAAACACAAGATCCAGGTTCGATTTAACACAGTACATAAAATTTGTGATCTGATCCCATCTAAGAAGGATGTGATCCCTGACATGCAATACTCCGGCGTCTACAAATTAAGCTGTGTCTGCGGCAGTAGTTACATTGGGGAAACTAAACGACATGTCTCGGACCTGTCCTCCAGACAGTCTCGTCCCTTCACCTGATGAAGGCCGCTTGTGTTGTGGCCGAAACGTCGTGAGAATATTATTGTGTTATTTTATTTTATCAATTTATTATTTTATTCTCATTCTACATGACTTTACCGAAAGAACCAAAGAAGATGTCTCGGACCGTGTTCATGAACATAAGGTAGATCTGAAACATGGTAGGACCAGTACCTCGGTCGTGGCTGATCACTGTTTTAATGCGGTGGCCTCACACGAAATTGATTTCTTTAAGACGAAGGTACTTTGCAAACCCACTGGCTATCAACAAAGATTCGTTCATGAAGCCACCCATATATGTAGACAGACACAATTTAAACCGGGAAGATGGGTACAAACTGAGCACTCATTGGAAGGACGTTATTAACCAGTTTAAGTCATAACTGGCTGTGATGTTCCCATCCTACCACCTTCCGATGTTCGTTATTTTCGGCCCTCTGATTTTTGTTACATTAACAGATTAAATTTTTGACACTAACACAGCTACCTCACGCGCCATCCTCGAGGTTGCTGCTCTGCGATCTCCCATTAACATGCTAATCTCTCACATTAACATGCTAATCTCTCACATTAATATAGCCACCTTGGAGCACGTGCCGTGGAGGATTCTCAGCGATCTTACATTAACATGCTCATTTTTACCTGGCAGCCCTTTGATTGGTGGAAAGCCCACCACCGCTGCAGTCGCTGCCCACCACTTACATTAACATTGGCTGCTGACATTTGGGCTACGCCCATTTCACACCTTTATAAACAGTTGTGTTTATAAGCTAACCCCCCTTTTCCTGATGACGACCGCTTGTGTTGCGATCGAAACGTTGCAGTTTTTTTGTTATTTTGTTATTTTCTTTGAACCTATCTACGTGACTTTACCGAAAGAGACAAATAATATGGATATGTATTGTTGTTTCACTGCTAGCCGATGACGGCCACATCTTTTTCAGTTGGAGGTCTAAACAATAATACGGCCACACGTTCAGGCTCTTTTGCTGGGGGTTGAACAAAGCCTGAGAGTTGTGTACAATCAATGTGGTGGTCACATGATATACATGCAAACCATGTTTTATGTCATGATATCCTGCTGTTTATGAGCGCACCTTTGTCCCTTGCCGTTTCTAGTTTGTTCTGTATATTCACTTTCAAGAGCCGAGTTCGAGTGCTCTCTGGGTAATTGTGTCAATCCCCATGTCCTGCCCCCCTATCTCCACCTGCAGGCGAGTACCCGGGCGCTGGAGGATCGTGTGCACTACGTGGAGCTCGACGATCGCAGAACACGCGCTCTGCAGGACACACAGCGGGCTTGGAGCCACAGCCGGGCCCCAGGACCCACAGGGAACCCCGCCCCCTAACGCACACACAGGCTCTCTGATCCTCATACACAGAGGTCCCCCTTCACAACTCCCCCCCCTTCTCCCCCAATAATAATACACAGGAAATCCTGATCCGAATACACAGGTCATCCCAATACACAGCAGGCCCCCTAATACACACATGCCACTGATTCGAATACACACAGCTCCCTGACCCTAACATACATGTGTCCCAAACATAGAAACCTTTGTACCAAATACACACATGCTCCTGATCTCTAATATATAGATATCCTCTAAACACATGAGTTACCTGGCATGTTCTGTTTACGTGACAAACCTTATTGGCTGTGTTGGGTGGTGGCGGGTTTAACGACACATTTATACACCACGCTACTGCTCTCCACTGACACACAGGCCGTCTTCCACAAATAAGCCCATAAGCATAGCACACCAAGATTTGCGCTTTACTGTACTTACGTAAAAATATGCAGGAATGCAGGTAAACGCCTATTGTACAGATCTTTTGACTGTAACAGCCTTAAACAGCCACAACCAGCCTTTGTGAAAACTTCACATTAATCTCTAGAATGCGTCTGACTCTTAACACTTTCAATACTTCTTCTTTGTATGGATACGGTTTGTGAAGCAAACAATTCTATATCCAAATTTTAAATCCAGTTGATGGCTTTGGGAGATAATGAGTGTATGCCACTCTGTATTTACTAGAAATGCGTGTGATGGACAGGCATTTACGGCGTGTTTTATTGTTTGACGCGGACCGCCTCGGTCTCATGGCAAGGAATTCAGATACGATTCACTGTCGACCATTGCCTTGTGGGAAAGTGAACCCCCCCCCCCCCTTTGCAGTCTCGTAATACTTTATCGAGATTGATTTCTTCTCCAGTATTCTGCCTTCAAATACAAATAAAGTATACACACTGCGTGAGGCTGATGATTGCTAAATGCGTTCCATGTGACGTAGAAAGTGCCGATTCTAATTGGGATGAGGGAATTTGTGACCTGTAAAGAGCGTTAATGAAATTATCCATACATCACATGGGCTGTGTTGAGCAATTGTCCGATGAATGTAGGGTGTAACCAGGGGCGGAGCCAGGATTTTGACTTTGGGGGGGCTGACTTCAATATTCTGAGATTCCAGTGTTTATGTTTTCCAATGGGTGCCACAAATGTATAAAACAAATTTTATTGGATTTGAACGCGGAGTTTATTAATAGGTCGGAGCCGCTGATGTGGCTAATAAGTTCTATTAGTTAGAAAGGCTGCCGCTCAAGCAGCCTGCAGGGCAGCACAAGGTGGCAGCCTGCAGCATTTTGCAGCAGCTGGATTTCCGGTTATCCCGATTACCGACTTTCCCAATATTTCAGGGAGGGGCTAAGCCCCCCTCCCAGCCCCCCTGTGGCTCCGCCCCTAGGTGTAACTACTTCCATTTGAATTGAGAAGATAGGTAAATGTTGAAAGGCTGACCGTGGGGGGGGGGGTCTCAAAGACTGAGGTTCGAGAAACCCTGCCCTATTATGTTAGACTCGTGCACACTTAATGTCTATTCCTCACACAGCAAGTCAGCCACAACACATTTAATGCCTTATTTTCAATGACATTAATGCTTTGTTGTTTTTCGTAACTCATACTTATGTTTTTTTAATGCCCAGTTTAGATTTAAATATAGACTGAGTGTGAGTGCTGTTAGTGAGCACATTAAGAAATGCACTGCAAGTGAGGAGTGATGTTGCCTGAGCCATGGCACAACCGGTGCTGGTGATGACCATACCACACAAGCGACTCTGTTACCACTGAGTTGACTTAGGGCAAGCTCAGACCAAGTTTGGATACCACTTGCCGCTGATGTTGTGCATCGTGGCCAGGAGTCAAACTTGGTAGAGAGGATTAATGTGCAGTGCACTTATAAGAATAACTACTAACCCCACTTACACAAACACATGTTTATAGACATGCATGCAACAGTCGTGCAGATGTAGGCATTACTTTGTCGTTAGCTAGGTATTCCAATGGTGTTCATAGCGAGCTCGGATACATTTTGTCTAAAACGAGATGAGACGTGATGATAAAGATGATGCTGACTATTGTAGTGATGTTAATACTGGTTATGTTGAGTGACGCAGTAATGACGGTCAAAAGTTTTGAAATAAAAAGTAAAATGTATGCACTGTCGTGTTATTTTACCCTAAATATTATTCTGGGATGGGGGGGAATAGCGACGCTGAATTTGATGGATTATAATTCTTTGCGGCGAAATTTGGATTTTAGACTGCTATTTCCACACGATTCCTGTATTCATCCACAATTAAAATAGTCATCTACGCTTGGGGGGAATACTCCAACGGCCAACGAAATTATCGCCACAACATCCCAAATTAAAACATCCAAAGTGTTCATTCCTGGTAAAAAAAAATAATGCAACGGCTTATTCGCGGCCGACATCAGAATTTCGTCCTCGCATATCAGCATGAAGCGTTGTTTCACCAATTGCGACCTGTCAATCAACACCTGGGGGACCGTGATCACTCGAAACTGAATTTGGCCTGAAACATCGATTGTTTTGAACTCCCAATAACTCCAACAGTACTCAGCCCCGGGTGAAATACCAAGGAGAGGGAATGCTGGTGCAGACTTAAGCACATTGGTACGAGTGTGTATGTGCATAGTGTACTGTAGAAAGATCAAAATATAGATGGGCCTTGACGCGATGACAGCATCAACATCCATGGGCAGATAGCCCGTAGGTGTCCCATTGCACATTGTAATTTGTTTCCACTTTCCTCTGTCTTGTGCCAATATGCTCAAGGAGTGCACATCTTTCCAGCACTAATCTCATGTCAAGCCATTCTCTTTAAGATCTTCCTGTTTCTTTCCATTTTTTCCCAACAACACACTTTTAATGTATCTGTTGTCCATCCTACATATGTTCAAATAGTGCAAGTTTCATTATCATAATTGTCTGCATCAGGTCTTCTTCTATGTGCAACATTTGTATTCGGTGTTGGTCACTCTTTGGGTCGGGTTTAGATGCAGTGTCCTGTAGCAATACACTTCGAATGCCAATATCTTATCTCTGTCTTTATTAGGTCGCTCAAGCATTAAAAGGTCCACTGAACACACGCGTTCTTAAGATGTTCGGTTTTCTCTTGTCGCTGATTTGCTTGCTTCTCCAGATGTAATTGAATCGTGCCATTACTCCTTTTGCCTTTGCGATCCTCGCTTATGTATTTCGTGCAGTCGTCCCATGCCAGTAGACTTCCCAAGTATACAAATGCCTTTACATTTATAATCTTGGTGCTATTATTACTTATTTCTCAATGTCCTTCCTTCCGAACACCATAGTCCGTATTATATATAGCAGCACATATAAAAGGAAAACACGTCTTCTGCTCAAACAAGCTACGGGGCTCTGCTCATCACCACTGGTGGCTCTGAAGCCAGTGATGGAGATTCCACATTCCTATGACAGGGATAGATTAAACCACAGAACACTCTAATTTAATTTCATTTATTAGGTATAACCCTGTGAGCCATGCGGCTCTTGACTCGGGTGCAACCGCAACAAAACAAAAACATGAACAAGGAACATCTTAAAGTGACTACACGCAACAGAAAAATCCTGGAAAAAACAGCAAAATGTCTTCCAGAAAAAGTGGTGACCATTTTATCGACCCCAGAAGGGAGACGACGGTGATGATGATGATGATAACATGCTGTCTCCCCAATTCGGAAACTTACTTTAAATTGAGCGCGGAGCTCTGGTCATTGCCACCCAGAGTCGGTTAATCGTGGAGGTGGGGTTGACGGATCACGCAGAGATCATGCGTGAGACTTCCAAGAGTTTGTGTTACGAGATAACCAGCAGCTGTCAATACTGTACAGCAAATACCGTGCCGTGTAAGTTTAAGTCTCTATGTGTGGACAGTTTCAAATCTGGGGACGTGTATATTTCAGATACGTTCAAGATGTAGGGCTTATTACGAAATCACCCAGAATTCACCCGATCTCATCAGAAGATAAGCAGGTTTGCATCTGGAGAGTGCTTACATTGGGCGGCCACCATGCATAACAGGTGTAATAGGCTGTCCCGCGGGGCGCTACCCTTGCAGGCGGTGCAGCAACATCAAATAGTTGTACTGCACTCATATGCCCCCCCCCCCCCCTCTTTTCACAGACCTACACTGACCAGCTGGGTAAAATATGACAAATATCATAGCTGTCAACCCATACGGTTTACCCCGTATTCTTGTACAGGGAACTTGAGTTATCAGGTCCATACGGCGTACAGCCGTTATCAATGTGGGCAATAATAACAATGTATAATTTGTGTCTGTTTGTGTTTCTCCCTTATAATGGGACTTTATAGGATGAACGTTGATATGTATAATGGGCACGGGGTGACCAATAAGCTCTGAATTGGTCTGTAACAAGGTAGGGGCACTGATAAGGGGTTGACAGGTGTGACATCTACACACTACCACCACGACCCGCACCGCGCAAGGTCATCCAGCAGTGGATTCGCACGGTGGGGGGGGGGGGTTGGTGGTCTATGCACTTCTAAGTCGTCTCAATTGAGAACTAATTTCTTTATACCTATATATTCTTGGTTCTTTCGGTAAAGTCACGTAGAAGGGAAACAATAAAATAATAAAAATATAAAACAATAATATCATCACGACGTTTCGACCGCAACACAAGCAATCATCATCAGGTGTGAAAACCACAGCAAGAAAATTTGAAGAAAAAAAATTATTGACGTTGGTTTTCACATCTGATGATGACTGCTTGTGTTGCAGTCGAAACGTCGTGAGAATTTTATTGTTTTATATATATTTTATTATTTTATTGTTTACCTGCTTTGGTTCTTTCGTTAAAGTCACGTAGAATGAGAATAAAATAATAAAATAACACAATAAAATTCTCGCGACGTTTCGGCCACAACACAAGTGGCCTTCATCAGTCTCGTCCCTTCACCTGATGAAGGCCACTTGTGTTGTGGCCGAAACGTCGTGAGAATTTTATTGTGTTATTTTATTATTTTATTCTCATTCTACGTGACTTTACCGAAAGAACCAAAGAAGATGAATCCTTGCAGTCACGAAAGCTTTAAATCGAAATGTATTCATCTTCTTTGGTTCTTTCGGTAAAGTCACGTAGAATGATAATAAAATAATTGATTGATAAAATAAAATAACACAATAATATTCTCACGACGTTTCGGCCACAACACAAGCGGCCTTCATCAGGTTGTTATTTTATTTTATCAATCAATTATTTTATTATCATTCTACGTGACTTTACCGAAAGAACCAAAGAAGATGAATCATTGCAGTCACGAAAGCTTTAAATCGAAATCGAAATGTATTGTTTCCCTTCAACGCGACTTTACCGAAAGAACCAATAATATGACAACGTGGTACATTCACAAATCGCCTTTTTGCTCCAAGCGTTCAAAACAACCTCCTCGCTTCCCATCGACGGACTGTGTGATACACTAACGCCCTAGGGGCAAATATAAACGGGGAATCGGGGGGGCCCCTTCAGCTCTTCCCATCTAATTGCGCCCTCGGGGCGCTTCTCATACTCAAAGCGTTCTACTCGTCTGACCCCCGTGATGGCTGCGCGCGGTTAACTTCGCCGAGGGTTAAAGCGGCATTCCCCTTTTGTTTGTCTTTAGTGAAAATTTCGCCTTTGTTGTTTCTGTTTTCTTCCGCTTCCTAAGAACGTTTGCGACTACCCGCGAGACATGTCGTCCAAGGCAGCCGAGCGTGAGTTCGTTATCGCGGGAGATGCGTTCGTGTCGTCTGTCGAGGCCTAGTCGAGGGCTCGCTTCGGGTTCGGCAGGCTTCAGTGTTCACGTCGAGGAGCTCGTAGAGCCAGACTAAACCACTTCGTCTTCTTCTTCTTCCACGCGTTTGACCCACTCACGTGGGGTCCCGCTGTTCTTGCCAACCTTCTCCACGCTGCCCTGGTCCTGCGACATCTCTCTCCTCGGGCCACCGTGTCCGATCGAACCACATCGCCCCCCCCCCCCCAAATCTATTCTTCTGTCTCCCTCTTGATCTCTTCCCTTCCACTTGCATCACTTGAACCTTCTGACCCACATCATTTTCCTGTCGTCTCTCAGCCAGACTAAAGCACTTATAGTTAACAGCTGAGGATCATTGAGTCAGACTAAAGCATTCTTAGGGCTCGGTGTGAATGCCTGAGGCTGGTGGAGCCAGACTTAAGGCACCGTTATCGTTGAACTTCTTTCGCACCGTACGTAGCCTACCGTGCTAATCGGAGATGCTGGTTAATAATGTTTTTTAGTAGACTACATCATTCTTATGGTTCAGTGGTAATGCCTGAGGCTCGTAGAGACAGTTATAGTGTTTCAGTTTTCAAGTTCTTATGATTAAGTATAAAAATAACCTGAGGAGGATCAGGGAGCCGTAATATGGCACTGTTATGTTTTTGTTATGGTTCTGTTATGTTTTTGTTATGGTTCAGTGTTAACGTCCAAGTCTTCGAGCCAATTGTAACCCGAGGATGTTGATGTGATGCGGATGAGAATTGGACCGGCATCGTGTCAGCGAGATTGGGAGTGGGCAAGAAGTGGCCGACAATTGATTTTCCAATGTGTACGCGCGTGTTTGTTTATATTTACTTGTGAACAGTGGTGGTGTAGTGGTTAGCGAACGTGCGCTACCAACCCGTTGACCTGAGTTCGATTCCAAGCTACGGCTAACATCAATATCTAATATCTAAACTGACAGTGGGCCTCGCCGAAATCCACTCGACCTTAAAATTAATCACTGGATGTTTGTGTTGGTGTGCGTGAGCAGACGAGGCTTTCTCAAACCCCCTGGCTCCTGATGGCATTGATGTGGACGACATTGACGATTTCAAGTGAGCAGTCGCAACATCCTACACAATCGCATGCACACACGTTGATGTTTTATCTGCATAACCATACACCTTTAATTATACCTGAAACTACAACATCTCCTACACCTACAGTCATACTAATTGCAACACCTCAACTTCCTACACCTATACTTAACCACAACCCAAACTACAAAGCCATGACAGTATTCCAAAAGACTCCACTTAGACCTACTGCACCCCAACCTATTGCACCACCACCTTTATCTCCTACACTCAAAACTAAACAACCCTAAACTACCACACACCAACACTTTATACTGACATTTCAACCACCTACCCATACCCCTGGTACACCTCCTACACATCAACTATTTATACGGGTTCTACACCTGGAGCTACTGTTGGGAATGTTTCAATGCTGTTGCATTCATTACTGTGTATTATGGGGTTTTATTTCCATTTCATTGGGTTTGTGTTTCCATTGGGAATGGCACTGTTTAAATTTGGAATGTCTCCGTGTTCCCTCAGTGCGTCTCGACTCACCAATGATGACTTTCGACGACTCCTCATGACCCCACGGACTGCGCCGTCCTCGGCGCCCCCCACCGCACGGGCACGCACACATGAGTGAGTATACACGTACGCAAGCACATATATACATAAATGTATCTCTATACACCCAGAAGAGTACATCTGCAGATATGACTGATTACACATACCTGAGTTAACTCACAAACACGAGTGCACACAAGGGTGAGTTTTCACACGTGCAAATCAGTGGTCTATGCAGTGGTCTATGCACTGAGAAGTCAGGTTAGTACACACATATGTGTTAACGCATGTGCTCTGTGGCTCTTGTGTGCGTGTGTACGCATACTTGCAGGATGCCCCGTGAGTACAACGAGGATGAGGATCCAGCTGCTCGTAGGAGGAAGAAAAAGAGGTTGGTGCAATGATAATGAGAGTGTTGGTAGATTTTGGTGATGGTTGTGATGATTGTGGGATGTTTTTTAAAATTATGCATCGTTAACTGTGATTATGATAATGATATTGGTGATGGTAATGGTTATTACATTGATGATGATGTCAATGCTGCTGAGATTTTAAAAATGTGTGGATTTATGAGGCCTGTGTTGATGGTGCTGTCATGGATTGTTTTGATGTCTGTGATATTAATTGTGATGATCTGTTAATGATGGTAGCGGTGCAGATGAACATTTAGTAAACGATACAGATGGTTGTACTGTTTTTGATGTTAAAGTTGTTCGAGTTGCTGCTGTTTATGCCGATGCTGATTATGGTGATTTTGTCCCTGTGCAGTTACTATGCAAAGCTCAAACTGCAGGAGCAGGAGCGTGAGCGGGAGCTTGCGGAGAAATACCGGGACCGCGCGCGCGAGCGCCGCGATGGCCTCAACAAGGACTACGAGGAGACCGACACCATTTCCACGACAGCCAACTACCGTGCTGTGGGACCCAGCGCCGAGGCGTACAGCACGCACGATCACACACATGCCCCGATATATACACGTACAACCATACATATACAACAACAACTGCCATTCGCCACTAATTGACGGCGGCATCACCACAGCTCTTGTGCAGGCTAGATGTAATTTCAGGCCATGTGAAGTTTGTTAAGGGTTACCGGACAGAGGTCACGAGAGAGACATGGGTGTTATGGTTTGGCTGATTGAGAACTGGCAAACGCAAGCCTGTGCTCCCAACTCTGTCAACTTGCTACTCTTTAGCCGCTCGGCACTGCTCGATGTTGAGTGTGATTGCCAATTCACAACCACATGCAGACAGACATAGGGTTAACTCCAATTAATTATCCATGGGCAGATTATTCGGTTGGCAGACGGACTACGCTGAGCCATGCTTTTTAACTTGCACGCTGGTTTCACCTGAGAGGATATCCACTGTGGAGATGGAGCAATGAGATCGGCTCATGTGCAGGCGCTAGATAGTGTGGCAACACAAGACCGTGAGAGATGGTGATGGCTTGGAGAGGCCTTCATCCATAATTGGATAGATCATGGCCAATGGCGATATATATACACAAGTAAATGTTTATACACAACTCCGTATAGCATACACTTGCACACATATGCAAGCACTCAGACACCACGGTGTAGCGGAATTGGCTCACGTGCATGTCATCGGTGTCGCACCTTCTCCAGAGATAAGTCCGCGGCCGAGAAGCGTCGGCAACTCATCCAGGAGTCCAAGTTCTTGGGAGGTGACATGGAGCACACCCACTTGGTGAAGGGGCTCGACTTCGCTCTGCTGCAGAAGGTGGGACCTGCCCCAACTCTTTGCATCTTGGTTTGATGTTCTGCTCCTTGACTCATGCCCCCCCCCCCCTGCCCCCCATGTCGCATGTGTTCTGATATTTTCACTTTATTCTCTGCCCTCCTGGCCTCTGACCTTTTTCCCCCAGTTCCCTGTTCCTTGAGATGAACAAATTATTTACCCTCCCCTGCGATTTGTTCAGTTGTCCTAATTCGGGGTCATGATTGGATGCCAGGATTTGTTATTTTGTTGTCACGCTCAGTTAATTGCATTGTCCATCTTGTTAGTACTCACTCATATATACCTCATTCACTTTGAGCATATCATTTTCCTAAACCTATTAATTGTTAAATGCGCAGTTGGGTACGTGCATCTTGGGTGAATTTATTTGACGGATCTTTAGGTACCTAATTCTATGCCCTATGTCCTCTGCTCTTTATCTTATGCTGTCTGTACTGTGTCCTTTATCTTCCACCCAATGCTGTGTTTTAAGAAAAATTGCAGTTCTGTCACAAGTCTATCCAAGCTAACAGCAGGCATTTTTGTGTTACTTTGCATGTCTTTGGATGCGCGGGTTAGTGCTTTCTGGGTGCAGGCGAGTGCGTATGTGTTCCTGCGTTTGTGTGTGTGTATATGTGCTCACGTGCGCGTGTCCGCATGTATGCGTGCGTATGGTTGTAAGGTGCGTGCCGAGATTACAAGCAAGGAAAGAGATGACGAGGATGCCTTGGAGAAGATTCCAGAGAGGAAAAGGTGATCATCGCACAACACCATGTGATTTATACAGTAGTGTGTGAACCTATTACCTGGTAATAATAGTTCTGATATCTATTGGTAATGGTATGAAATGGTAAAAAGTGATTGTCATGTTAATGGCGTTGGTGAATTGTTCACAGGCAGGAGGAAGACCCCGAAAATAAGATTGAATTTCGGACTCGCCTGGGTGAGTTCTTAAGCAAATCAAGATCTCATCAAGATGATAACCCCCCTGTCTCAATGGTAGCCTGTTAACATAACCCATCATAGTACGGGGGCATGAGACACGGGACTGTGGATTATGTGAAACAAGGATATATGGGGGCATGCGAGGATGGGGCACTAGAAAATGCCTCGGTTCTTCAATCCATATAAACTTGTAATGATGAACCCCCTTGACTGAGATTATTTACGTTCACATTTTCAGTTATTTTCATAACATTCACATGTACAGTTATTATAACTCAGAAATAATAGATCCTTACGTTATCTATTGTATAGATATGTCATGAGTGCAATGAAAATGATAATAATGCACAACCCTTTGTCATTCCAATGCTAGATAAGAGCCTTTCTCCATTGTGCTGGTTAGGCTACGATTGATGCTCCTGCTGATGATGATGAAGCTGTTTCTACTGATGATGTTGCTGTTAATGTTGCTTAAGACCAAATCACCTGGAATGATCCTGGGCTCATCAGCTCTTTAAAGCTCAGTCATTGCCATGAAATGTGAAATAATTAATAATTTTATTCCACGATTGTGACACCACAACGTTGCTCAGGGCGGAACGTGTTCCGCGTCTTGTTCCGGCACAAGCCGCCCGAGAGGAACGAGCTGTTCCTGCCTGGGCGCATGGCGTACGTAGTGGACCTGGAGGATGACTATGCTGACACGGACATCCCCACCACGCTCATCCGCAGCAAGGCCGACTGCCCCACGCTGGAGGTGAGGAGCGACCGGGTCGCCCGCTCTCCCGGAGTCCTGAGACTTACTGAGGCGTTCATGCAAAAAATAAATAGCATAATTACCATAAAAAAACACTTGTTCATCAAATACGGGGGCGCCACGGTAATGAGGTGTTAACTACCTCGCAGGAGGTTGTGGGTTCGATCCCAACCTTGACACCTTTATATTGGGAGTTTGCCTGTTCTCCCCGTGGTCGTGTGGATTTTGCTTTGGGTCCTCTGGTTTTTCCTGCCATATTTAGAAACATGCATTAAAGAGTATTTGGCTGCCAATTCGTTGGGCTCGTATTTGTGGCCAGGTCGCTTCTGAAAAAGACCTATGAAGCTCAGTGGGCCTTACCTGGTAAAATAAAAAAAGAAATTTATGTTTATAGTTTTACAAAACACTCGTCTTGTGCAATACATAACTTTTATCTGATGCAGAACTCTTCTCCTGTGAAACACAGCTTTTGCCTAATGTCACTCAAATGTCTTAAGGTTGCCTACATATTTCCCCTTCTATGCAGTCTCACACGACCCTAACCACCAACGACATCGTCATCAACAAACTCACGCAGATCCTGTCCTACCTGCGTCAAGGCACAAGGCCCCGCAAGCTCAAGAAGAAGGAGAGAGGTGGGCACGAGGGGTGTGGTGGTTGGCTACAGGAAGAACAGCGAGACATCGATTCGGCTATTACCGGGAAACTTTTCCTTACCAATGACCAAATATGACATTCAAATACATTAACACACACAATTTAGTTACTTGCGACATTTTCTGAAAGCGCTACAATTATATGCTATGTACTAAATTGGTTCAGCGAAGATACTTACATCTTTGCTATTACGTATATAGCACATGGGGATTCGTAGGGCACGGGGGTATTTGAGCATGGAACACATACGATACAGTACATCTCAAGATGCTCTACAGGTAATTTATTTTATAGACAATCACTCAGTCATTGGTAAAGGAAACTGACCCTGAACTTGAACAGGAATTAGGCAGTCAACAGCACAAATGGCTGGGAGAAAGGATGTTCCTAACTCGGAGTAGTATAAGACTCAACTGTGCAAAGGCTGACTGGAGGCTTTGACAGGAAAGCCTTGGTTGTCGTAGCAGAGTCCATGGAGGTAAGTAGAGTGATAGAGTAGAGTTAAATTGGAGTGGAGAGGTAGGAGAGTACGTGAAGGGGAGTCGAGTGAGATTAGAGGGTAGAAGGATGAGAAAACGTGAAGGAGAGTAGAGTGATATTTGATGGTAGAGGTAGGAGAGCACGTGAAAGGGAGTAGATTGAGGGAAGTGGAGTGAGATGAGAAGGGAAAAAAGTAAGGAGGGGGCAAGTCCATGGGTTGTGGGTTGCCCGAAATGCATCGAGTGTTTGTTCCTGCGTCTTGTCCTTGTGTTTCCCTGTGGTGCTTCCGCCGGTGTCCCCTGCTTGTCCCCGTCTCATGGTGATTGTGGAATGGCGTGCCCGTGCACAGGCAAGGTGGTCGTGGATGAGAAGAAGCTGCCTGAGGCCGACTTGACGTGAGTGTCACACGCATGTACACGCACACACACACACATGTCCATACACCAATCCACAAAAACAGAATCGGCCATTATAATTTTGCTATACTGTTGGGGCGAGAAGAAATAAGAATGCTGTCTTCCCTCATGGCTGCAACGTCTCACCACCAGGATCTTTGATGATGTTGGAGAGTACGTGACCACAGCCGCCAAGCCTGGAGGGAGGGAGCGTGAGCGGGAGCGAGAGAAGGAGAGGGAGAGAGAGCGGGAGAAGAAGGAGAGGGAGATTGAGAATGAACGGAAAGCCGTGGCACGTGCAAGCTACTTCGAGAAGCCATCACAGGATGAGGAGGTGACTATACTGAAATTCGGCCTGAGGTTGATGAAATTGTCCTGTGCTTGTCAGGCTACATGACATTATCAAGTCACATCTTGTCACGTGCACAGGCATTACGGCAGCACATGGGTGTAGTGATGTAACTCCTATAAATGGGACCACTGATCTGTACCTTTTGTCCATGATTCTCTCATATCAATATCTTGTGTATTTCCCTTTCATCTCGCCAGTTTCATCTTTGAGGCACACTCCAAAATATTTCGTGGACCACAGTTTTCTTGTGAGCCACGCTTGTTAAAGGATCCCTGTCCAATGTGAGATGTGTGAAAGTCCTGAATCTGCTGGGCAACAAGGTGGGCAATACAATGTAGAAAAGGAAATGGATGTTTTAATCCATCTGTGACGCGCTTTGAGTGCTACCTTGTACACATAGGTTTTCTCAGGGTGGTCTGGTTTCAGCCCACGTGTTAAATCCTCATGAATTGAATCGGACAAATATCCCAATGCTGAACCCTCCTGAAAAGAGTGACTGCGTGAGCCTCTCCTGCATAATGGACATTATTATTTTTACACAGCACTTTCATCGTTTGGGGTGCACATGCGTCATTGCTCCTCGGTAAAATTAATGAGCCATTGAGCGCTTGATTCAGCAATCAATTCGTTAATTATTGTAATAAAATATAAAACTGATAATGATATTTAAGTTGGTTTTGTAATTCTTCTGTGTGTTTGCTTGTGTGCGTGCAGCCTTCAACTTCTGAAAAAGGTGAGCCTGCGTGAGAGTGATTGCCCGTGTGCTGTATGTGTGCACGGGCCATTTTGGTCTGCATGGTGTATACAATCCAATGTGTGGATACAATCTGGATTTGTAATGGAGCATTTCCTGTGGACCATTTGAACATTAGCAGTTACGTTTGATTCGTCCACTTTGGTGAAGTTGATACTTTTCATGTGTTTGCATTTTGTTGCATATGTTTGATGGTTGGGTGTCCTGGTGCTCATAAGTTTGCTGTGGTGCATGTGGGTGGTGTGAGTTAATGGTATAATATCGAGGTTGCCACTGAGATTTCTTAGGTTCAAATCCAGGCAACTTGTGATTAAATTGGGTTTCAAGTTTAGTGAGTTTATGGTCTACATTTAATGTGGCTAAATTTCAGCTGTGAGAAATATTTTTTTATTTATAAATTTGACTGTTGCAGTGAACATTACTTCCTGTCGTAGGGTGGGTGGGAAAGTTCTGCCCCCTACTGTGCGTGGACTATAAGCCACTTGAAGGGATCTCAGAGGTAGCTCTGTGATATCCGCTTCTGTGGGCTGCTCTCTAACAAGAAGGGTTGCACTGCTTTACACGAGTTCCAATATTAGACTGTGATAGCAGAGTTGGGATAAAATTAGGAGAAACACAAAAAAATTGTATAATGGTGTTTTGGTTGATAAATTTTGTTTGGTTCGTACGATATCTGCGCGATGTTGGTTTATGCTGATGTGTGGCGTTCATGAAGCCGATAATGTGGTTTAAACGCTGTGGTAGTGCTCCTACTGTGCAATGGGGTTCATGTGCCATTTGTTTTTTTTTAATGCAGTGATTCTCCCGGCCAAAGAGCTGATCCAGTCGATAAATGAGAAGTTTGCAGGCTCCACCTGGGCACCAACTGCGGGCACCGAACCTACAGCATATCCTTTCCTCATCGATTACTCACACAGTTCATACACACGCACAGTTAACACACACTCACCCAGCACTCGCACACATACACACTGTTCACACATACGCGTCACACCACAAGGGAGTGTGCCGAAACTCATCCATGCAACACCAGTGTCACGCATGCATGCGACAGTGCAAGTATGGTTGATGTGAAGGTTTGTGCTTGTGAGTGTGTGACGCTCCTGAATGTAAAATAATATGGATATTTGTGGAATTTTTAGTATCTAAGGATCTCTGGCTTGAGAGTGTGAATATAATGTAATTTAGCGTCCGCTTTGGCTGAGTGAGCCTGACCTGAGTGAACAAGCGTGTGCGAGGCTCCTTAACCCGCAAGCGACCTCACGCCCGACAAGCGACACGACTCCGGGCGCACGGGAGGCGACTTCCTGGGCACCTCGAACAGCTACGCCGAGTGCTACCCCAACTCGTGAGTGCGCACATCCGTGTGTGCATATCCTTAATGATCATGAACAGATGATCAGGGACCCTGACAGATCTTAGGTAACACTGGAGAGCACAGGTAACACATCTGGTGAATCTGCTAGTCATCTCAGTAAGTTACCAATAACTTCATTAACACCTGGTTCTGTTATGTGACCTGCCAGCGAACCATCGAACACGTCTTGTGGCCTCAAAGTGCACCTAAAACTGGTACAAGGGCCCTGGCGGTGTCACTGCCACTTCATGATAACTGGCGGTTGTTGTGTGGCCCCTCGTGCATGTGGTGTGGGCCCGAACAATGTTACAGAGGCAGCTTGGCCAGATAAGAGGTGGGTATAAATACACATGACATGAGATAGAAAAAAGATGGGCTATTGTGGTACAGGATCATCTGAGTGTGCTTGTCAATGGCTGGTACAAGCAGTATCAAGATTGGCTTTTGAGTGGAGGAGGTTTGTGAATGATGCATCTTACTGAGCCATTGGCTTTGTCCAAACACAGCAGAATTTTCCCACCCTCTCTTCCTTATAAGAATACTGTTTGTCGAATGGCAGTGGAATTTAGCTAAAATGAGGGAACAGCCAAATTTAAGGGGTTTTTTTCAGTCATTGGTGACCAGTTTCACACCATTAACACATTACCCTTGGGAACCTGTTTTAATCGCAGCCAGCTGCCTGTTTTTGAACCCAGGATCTCGGCAGTGTCAGCTCGGTGGCCTCTCCTCTTAGCCACCCCGGTCATCCCCCCTCCATGAGCCTTGCCTTAAAGTGGCCTCTTGAGTAAACAACACATGTCAGAGTCAAACTTTTGACACCACCACTGCCTTGCAGTCATTGACGTAGTTATTACAGTTCGGTGCATGGACATGTTTGTTGTACTTATCTGCTGTCAGGTTGATGGAGGATGTTGGGGTGGACAGCGATGATGAGGTCGACTACAGCAAGATGGACCAGGTATGCTTTCATACACGCAAACTAGTATTCATTGTCTGCTATAAAATAGATCACAAATATTGACAAAGAAAATGGAACAATAACTGAAAATTGTACAAAAAAGGAGAGGTACATGCTTGGAATTACGCTGAGACAGGACAAGAAAGACATGGATTATAGAACATGAAGGTTATAGACATTGACTGTTCAGAATAGGTGAGTATAAGCAGGACAAATTGCTAGATGAGATGATGGTTGGTGGTCGTGAATAATGCCTCTGACAACCAAAGAAGAGAACATGCTTGCTTGAGCGGGTGTCCACCTGTAAGTTTGTGTAATAAAAGCAGGTCCTTTGGAACACTACATGGCGGAATTTTGAGAAATGGCGATGGCTTGGGGGATCCCTTCATATAGCAGTGGCAAAGATCATGGTTGATGCTAAGACAAAGCCACTGTTGCTAGACACATAAGCCTGTGTGTGTGTGTTTCAGGGAAACAAGAAGGGTCCTCTGGGACGCTGGGACTTTGAGACTCAAGAGGAGTACAGTGACTACATGAGCAACAAGGAGGCCCTACCTAAGTATTCAACTCGCGCACACCCTGCATCACTTGGACACATTCACACACACGCCTACTCATTCACAGGATCACACTCGTACACAGACGCGCTTGGACAGACTTACTCGCCCAAGGTTTGGACTTGTACAGATTTATTCTCACGCAAACTAGCACACTTAAAAGTTTCTCAGCTTTGCACAAGTTGACATGTAGCCTCAATCGCACAGATTAATCCAAAACACAGGGGTGCATGCAAACTCACACACAGATACTTCGGCCACTCTCATGAACAAAAACTGTGTACACTTTCAGAAATACTAACTCTCACTCAAAAACACAGACTTTCACATAAACTCAACAACCATAAAATACATGTAAAATTAGAATATCTTCAAGATGCTTTTAATAATTTTAAAAAAATCTACATTTAGGGGAGAAGAAAACGTGGAAGAGAGGAGGCAGTAACACCGCAGCATGGCCCAGGACAATGAAACCGGGGCCAAGCATCAACAACAGAGCCTCAGAAAGATCTGTGGCAGCTAATACTCAGGCATACTCAGAAATAGATTAACACGCATTTGGCCACACTCACAAAGACTCACATGAGCTCAAACTGGTACTTTACATTTTCATGAAGTCTTGCTCTCACTCATGCAGTCATATGGGACTCGCAAATCCATCAGTCGGTGTGGACTTGCATACAGACACAAATACCCCACTATAGCCTTTTCACAGACTGTTGGGGACAAGTGCTGTTCGCGAGCACCTATTAAAGTCAGCATAGCACAAGAGGGAGTGGTGTGACCAGCACCATGCCCAGCTGCCTTTGACTCTAGTGCTGATGTTTACACCACACAGTACTAGTTTTATGCTGACTTAACCTAGGAAATGCTTGGGACTGATTCTGTATGCTAGCTGCTGTTAGCCGTAGCCAGGAATCAAACTCGGGTCGACAAGTGTGTAACGCGATGCACTAGGCACTCGGCCACTCGCACGCACACACTTTGACACAATACGTCCTCTGTGCACTCCCACCCCCTAGAGCTGCATTCCAGTACGGTATCAAGATGGCGGAGGGGCGCAAGACTCGGCGCCACAAGGAGGGGAATGAAAAGGCAGAGCTCGATCGACAGTGGAAGAAAATCAGTGCTGTGAGTAATTCTGAGTGGACGTGTGTGCATGTATGTGCAAGCAAGTGTGTGTGCGTGTATGGGATGCTTTAAGGCCGTGCCAGCCTTGTCTTTGCTTTTGTGTGAGTGTCCATGTGGGGTATGTTTTGGTAAGGCGAGTGTGTGTAGAACATGGATACTTGTAAGGTCATTGAATGAGGTGAATGTTGGGTGTGCTTCTTGGCTGGTGGCATAGAATACAGAAGTGTATGTGTGTGAGTGAATAAAGATGGAGTGTATTATGCGCATGTGTTTTGGCTGGCGAGTGACGTAAATGTCACATGAATCCTTAATGGTTGGAATACAATGATTGTGTGTTGGCATGTGCATTGGCTGCTGGAGGGAGCGCTGGCACAGTGATTAGTGCACTGTGCTGTGAAACCAGAAACCTGAGTTTGAATCGGTGGCGAGTGATATATAAACGGATCCGGGCCTTCTCTAGGTTTACTCAAAACTTAAATGAGTATCTCGTGCTGTGTGAACACGGTAGTGGGAGAGAAAAAGGTTGATGCACATGGTGAAGGCCACATCACCCCCTTTGTGCGCACTATTCCGGCCTTAATAGGGGGTCGCTAAATAAAAGCACCTGCCCCAACAGTGGTGTCTGGTGATTGTCGTGTTTGATGCTTGAGTGTATCGCGTATTGGCGAATACAAGGCCAGTCATTATTTTGTGAATATCAGTGACACAGTGCTGCTCGTTTGCATTTCAGATCATCGAGAAACGCAAAAACATGGCTGCTGATGGGTGAGCACCATGCAGGCACATATGTAGACACATAAAAAGCATTGACAAAGACACATATACAAACGGGCGCAAATGCACACGTGTATGCTCATAACACTCATACCTTTGTCCTTGCAGGGTTGATGTCAAGCGACCTAAATACTGAGGACCTCCGACATCGACTGAGGCCCTCTAGTGGCTGCCCGGGGTGTCCGTGCCTGTCTTTGGTTGGTTTGCCTCAGCTCCTGCAGCCCCTGTAGCCCCTGTGGTCCGGTCTGGATTTGATTGACTTGTGCTTTCAAACAGTAATGTAGTTCATTCCTCGTATTGTTTAGATGTGCAGACATAAATTCGTTGTCGTTTCCTATTCTGGCTTGTATAAACACAAAGATACATACGTACACACCTGCATACAATCCTGTACAATGACAGTTATATTTTGACTTAAAGCTTTCGTGCCTGCAGAAATTCATACTCTTGGGTCTTACGGTAAAGTCACGTAGATATAAAAATAATAATCTTACATTTACATGCAAATTCCATCTCTATCCCCGCCCACTTACCTTTGGGTTGCACCCATCTCAAACCTATATAACCTCTTTCTGCTGCAGCTCTGCCGCTATATTTCTCCTGCCTCAGCAGTTCGCCTGCTGTATTTGTTCACCTGAAGACGATTGCTTGTGTTGCGATCGAAATGTTGCGATTTTTTATTATTTTTCTATCTACGTGACTTTACCGAAAGACCCAAGAGAATGACAGTTATATTGTTTGTGGATCCACACTCACATTATTTCACACCTCACACTCACTGGTGTTTATAAATTGATCGCGTACCAGTTCACATAAACACATTCCGCAAAACAAATGCAGTACACTGTTAACTGCTCCTTTTGTAATGAGGCTATCACCAGTCTCCTTTGCATATGGAAAAATGTACCAACAGACTCCAACATAATAAAATACAAACAATAAAAACGTATAACATGAGTCTTGTCTGCAGTGCTGGTGTAATGGGTTATTTGGACATCATGCATTGCAATGAGACTGTTCATTGCACTCCCTCATATGACCCTGAGAAATCAGACCTTTAAAGAACGGGGTCCGTGAGGAATGGATTTAGGTGTGCGAGGGAGCGATGCGATACAATTTGGATTTATATACCGTTGTGACCACATCTCAAGATGCTATAGAAATAGGAATATTTATAGGAAAGAGAATAGTTTATAGGCTAAGGAAAAAAGCCTTGAGCCTGGATTTGAGCCTGGAAGGGGCAGAGTTTCGACAGTATGGACATTTACGAGGGAGTTCCAGAATACTGGGGCAGCAGAGGAGATTGACTTCCCACAAAGCGAGGTTCTTTCGTGTGGCAAATGCTCCCATTCCACGCAGGATGAAACCAGGTTATTCCTTCGGTTATTCGGCTCTTATCAGTTTGTGGATGTCACAAGCCATGCAGCTTTCATGCTACCAATCGCTGATGTCCAGTGTCATCAGGAATGTCTCTGATGTGTAGCACTTGGCATTTGCCAGAGCAGATGGTGTGCTGACCCTTGATATTCTAGAGTAGGTGGCTGAGCTTCAGTGAATCCCCATGATCGTGGTTACCTGCTCGGTTGTAGTTGTAGCCCCACCAAGTATGGGTGGCTGTTGAAGCATCCAATGTGGACTGGAGTGATGGTGGCAGTGCAGGGCAAGACCATTCCATGCTTGGCAGCGTGTACATATCCACTGGTGTTGCTGATCTTGATTGCGATTGTGCACTTGCACAACCTGGGTTTGGATAATTTCAGAAGCATTGGCTCAACACAAGCAAACTGGGCCAGTTTTAAAATTCAGTGTCTCATCAGCAGATTAGCACGGTTGGCTAAGTACGTTGTGAAAGAAGTTCAAAAATTATGAAAATCTTATATAAGTCATGAAAATATTACATATAGGCTAAGAGAACTGAGGTACAAGACAATACATGTGAAGGACAATATATGTGATGTTATAAATGAGGCAAGAAAACCAATAGGAAATGAAACAGCTGATTTTGTCTGACAACTACTAAGCACCAAGTCAGCGCAAACCATTCGACGTATTGTCAACTTCAATAAACCAATGCTCAAGTTTTACATTCCAAATCAATGGCTTATTTTCCCATCTTTCACTTTTCACGTCTTGAATGTGAGCTTAAATTTAATATTAAGTATATAGGATTTCAAAAATACATGGTTTGTCCTTATAGAAGATGTGAAATAAGCCTTCGTGGAAGTGAAATGCATATAGCACATTTATACATTTATAAAAACATCGCCACGTTTCAATGACCTCAAGAGATTTAGTAACTGTACACCATCGTGGTTGAGACATTCTGTCCTGTGCGTTGTCCATCGGTCGAGATGGAGACCTCTCGTGCCAAAACTCCTCCCACGTGCTTATCTGCAGAGACTCGTGGCAGCAGCCGCTAAGCAGCAAAGGTGTCTTTCAGAACGTGTGCACACATTTTGAACGTTCTAACACTTGACCAGAACCGGAGGCTGATGTGGTTGGACGAGTTGTGTTGGGGGGGGGGGGGCCTTCAACCAGCCTGCTCCCCACGTCTTGGACAACTGGTCTGGTCTATTGTGCAACCTCACCACTTCTGTCTTAAAACTTTCAGTCGAGTGCCTGCTAGAAAGGGTTGCCCTGTGATTGATTCCATGGATGTGGTTCTTGTAAATGTCCGACCTCTTGACGTCAAATAACTTCAGAAAACTCGTGTGGACCAGCAAGGTCTCCTAGCTCTGCTGCCCGTCTATGCTAGAAAATACAAATAAAAAAAAACAAACCTCAAACAGCAGTTGTGAATGTAAAAAATGCACTTCATTAAATTCATGAAACATCTGGTGTGTGAAACTCATCACAATCTGCACATGTGGTGTATAGCTCATTCACAGCCCTTTGTGAATCCACTGCGGGATGAAGGCCTCATGCTGTGTTAGCCAGCGCAGGTTGGTGAAGGGAGGTGCTGCTCAGATATCACTTGGTGTTGGACGTGACTGTAAATACAACTCAGTTCACCTGAGTTGAAAGCGTAGTGCTATAACCACGGTGCCATCACTCCACCCCGGTTATGAATTGACTACAAATTCAACGCAAACAGCTGAAAAGGTAATTTAAAGCTTACGTGACTGCAGGGATTCATATTCTTGGTTCTTTCGGTAAAGTCACGTAGAAGGGAAACAATAAAATAATACAAATATAGTGTTTCCCTTCTACGTAACTTTACCGAAAGAACCAAGAATAAGATGAAAAGGTATGATTGTTTTCATATATTATTCATATGGTTAAAGTAATACGAGCCAGTTGGCAGGATGGTAAAGACAAAACTCTCAAATTTGTGTGGTGAGAGTTTCCATAAAGTCCATCATCCCTCTAAATTGTCACAACAATTAGGATAACTTTTTGGAAAGTCAACAGTGATCATCTCGATTTGAAGCTTTCGTCACTGCAGGAATACATTACTCTCTTGGTAAAGTCACGTCGAGTCACTAACTACGTGACTTTTACCGAAAGAACCAGAGAGTCTAGTGATCATCTCACGAAGAGAAAACTACAGACGCCCATGTCGAAGCGCTTGGGCGACTAAATACGCAGCACGTTGGCACCATGGAGAGAGCATCATTGGTCTGTCCGGTAACCTGCACCTCGCCTGGCAACATCGGTCAACCACATGGCACGTGGATATGACCTATGACCTGCCAGCCACAAGCACGTGACGACGGCCTCAAGGGGCACCTCGCCTGGAACAGTCGCCGTGGTTATGTCACGGCCACTTCGTGGCGGATTAATTCTCGATTTGAAGTTTTCGTGACTGCAAGGATCCATATTCTTTGGTTCTTTCGGTAAAGTCATGTAGGTAAAAAAAATAAAAATAGTGAAAACAACGAAATGTAGTTGTTTTCACAATTTTGTTTCATTTTATTTAAACATTTTTGTTTTATCTAAACAAAAATGTGAAAACTAAATTGAGTTGTTTTCACATTTTTTTTTTACCTTCGTGGCGGCTGCTGCTGGAACGCATCGCGCGGTGACTGGACGTCAGTGAAAAAGAGCTTTATAGCTCATCGGATTCCTCCAGTATGAATACATATTCAGATTCTGACCGCAGTAACCCTGAATTATACTTATATGTGCACAACTTTGAACACCGTCGTGAAATGACATTGTAGTTATCCGTCTCCCCACGTAAATAAATACATAAAAAAGAAGCCTTTGTCACAACATCCCATGGAGCCGCCATCAGCAGTGCGAGGCCTGACTGCTGATGAGACCCTGAATATGGGAACTTGTCCATGGGGAATGTCCCTTGTGTAATGTAGCACTCAGAGACGGTCTTGTCCAGGAATGTGTGTAGATATATATTTTGTCTATTCGACGGTATACTAGCGGGCGGACGCGACTTGACTATGTGCAGTGGGGAACTCTCTTGATTTAAAGCTTTCGTGACTGCAGTGATTCATATTCTTGGTTCTTTCGGTAAAGTCACGTAGAAGGGAAACAATAAAAATATTTCTTATTATTAAAATAAAAAAAATATTTTTATTATTAAAATAATACAAAAAATATATTCTTTAAAATAATAAAAATATAAATTTTATTATTATTAAAATAATACAAAAAAAGTATTTTATTGTTTCCCTTCTACGTGACTTTACCGAAAGAACCAAGACTATGAATCCCTGTAACTGCTACACGGCGTCCACCTACATAGCTGGTGACTATATAGGAGCCGACGACGACGATATTTCTAATCTACTTAAGTCTTATTCTTGGTTCTTTCGGTAAAGTCACCACGTAGAAGAGAAACAATAAAATAATAAAATATAAAACAATAAAATATAAACCAATTAAATAATAAAAATATAAAACAACAAAATTCTCACGACGATTCGACTGCAACACAAGCAATCATCATCAGGTGTGGTTGTTGATTGTTTTTGATTGTTTTAGATTTTTATTATTTAATTGTTTCCCTTCTACGTGGTGACTTTACCGAAAGAACCAAGAATATGAATCCCTGCAGTCACGAAAGCTTTAAATCAAAATACTAAAGTCTTCTGGACAATAAGTCGACCCGCTCCCAGACACTCCGCCACCTCTTTCCCCACATCTCTCTAACTCTCTATCTCTCTCACACCTCGTCTGTCCCTGTCTCTTCAATTATTATTTACCACCACTTAGGTTCCTCCTGTCCTTACGTGACTCCTGCCTGTTCCCGTCAGCTTTAGTTATGAAACATGACCACAAGGCCCCGTAAGATCATTCATTATACACTTGCATTGAAATCAACGCTGCTGATCTGACTCCCACAAGGTCCGTCTGGCTTACGGGTTGAATTAAAAAAATATTTTTTATATGTATTTATTTTTTTCACGTGAAAAGACGGATATTTTAAATAAACTTTGCGTGTTTATTTAGTTTTAAAAATATATATTTTGTTATTCTTGGTTCTTTCGGTAAAGTCACGTAGAAGGGAAATAACAAAAAAAATAAAAAATACAATTATCACGACGTTTCCGTTGCAACACAAGCAATCATCATCAGGTGTGAAAACCTTGCTGTGGTTTTTAGTTAAATTTTTTATTATTTTATTATTCCCCTTCTACGTGACTTTACCGAAAGAACCAAGAATATGAATCCCTGCAGTCACGAAAGCTTTACATCGAAAAATATATATTTATTTGTTTACATTTTGTTGTTTACATTTTGGTTATTCGTTTTCTCCTCAGCGACTACTCATTGGGCCACGTGACGCGGAAATGGCGTTGGATTTTGGCGGGAAACCTCCGCCCCCGTCCTCCATTGTTCGTCGCTTTTCCCGCGTTAATCGCGGCTTAACTCTCAACGTTCGCTTTAAAACACGCCGACGATCGTCGTTTCTCCCCTCAAGTTAGTAGAAGAAGTTGCTCTAGCCGTTGTAGTTGCAGGAGTTGTTGTTGATTGTTGAACTGCGATTGGCGATGGACAAAGTGGAGCCGGGACGAGATGACTGCGGGTGAGACGTTAAGGGGGTTTTAACCCCCGTTAAACTTATGCTCGTATATAAAAGTATTATGTACCTTATATGTTTTGCATGAACGATAACAGTGATAGTTTGGCAATTGCTATACAAAAAAAACCCACCTAAACAACTTAACAGCCAGCATGCTAAGAGAAACGCGACGATCTACATTAATTCGTGTTGGCCTGGTGGATGAGACGTTAAGGATTTAAAGTGTAAAAGTTGTTTACAATAAAAAAAGAGAGAGAGTGAGAGAGTACGAGCTCCAGAGGTTTTGTCCAGTGCGGAGATGGAGCGAGATAATGTCACGGCAGCATTGAGTCGCCGTGGGAGTTGCCTTCGTCCAGCAGTGGATCGACCATGGCTGATTATAATGACAGTATTAACGATGGACAGTAACACCAAAGTTAACGCAACGTTAACAATAATGCGGTACGAACGTCCACATTGCTCAAGGTCAGCTTATGAGGCGTGAAGCATTTACCGTACACGAACACGGTTTACGGTTTTATTTCCTTTTTTTTTAGAAAAAAAGGAAGTCATAACAATCGTAGTCATCGTTCGTCATGTTCAGTCCACTGCTGTATTCCTTAAGTTGGCTACATGAATGGGGGATATATGTATACATATATATTGAACTTCTTTCGCACCGTACGTAGCCAACCGTGCTAAACGGAGGTGCGGGACAGGTAAACGCCTTGGTTATTGGAACGAAAGGGACATGAGGTGGAGTAATTATATCTAGATAGAGTGGGGGGAGATAGGCAAGGGCGAGTCCGTGGAGGAATTTGAAGGTGGTGGTACGGAGGCGATCTTTAATTTGAATCTGCGAGTGGATTAGGAGCCATGTGTCTGCACGACAACCTCCCCAAGGCCGTCGTCTCCATGACCAGGGGGCCGAGATGTTTACTCCCTCGCCTGGTATACAGGAGGTTGTAGTAGAGTTCGACCCTGACGACGGGCTGTATATGTGAAGTTTGCGGTGTGTGTGTCTCTTTCTCTCTCTCCCCCCGTGGTCGCGTGGATTTTTATCCGAGTTGTCCGGGTTCTTTTCCCCCTATACATTTAGAAACGTGCGTTTCGAGTATTTTGGTCAGGCGGAGATGAAAACATTCTTCAAATAAAAATACTTTTCTATCAAATGTTTTGTTGTGTTTAAAAATATATATAATTATTCTTTCAACGTGAATTGCCTAATTAAGATTACATTTTAAGTTGTTCATATTAGAAACCGCTGCAGCACCGTGCCTCGGGGCGGCTGTGAAGGCGTCCGAGTGAGAGGTTTCTATCTCCCTTCATTCGTTGAGATTAGCGTCCAGCGTTTTTAGCCACGCCGTTTGAGACTCATTCAGGGCGTTGAAAAAAGGATCCCATTGCTGTAATGACGATGTCACAACGCTAGGTTGCACTGTGCAAATATAGCAAGTCGGCCTACAGCCCTACACGCTCTCGAGGTCTAGGACTAGGGGAACAGCAATGTAGATTGTAGCAGGTGACTTTACCGAATAGAACCAAAGAGTATTTGTGGAGTCACTCCTAAATATTCCATTTGAAAGGATTTGTTGAGCCCTGTCGGCTGATATTTAATTGTTCTAGATTTGAAGCTTTCGTGACTGCAAGGAACCATACTCTTTGGTTCTATTCGGTAAAGTCACGTAGGTAAAAAATAAAACAACAAAAATCACGACCGTCTTCACTCCAACGCTGTCCTCTGGACAGTACGGTCCCTTCACCTGATGAAGGCCACTTGTGTTGTGGCCGAAACGTCGTGATTTTTGTTGTTTTCTTTTTTACCTACGTGACTTTACCGAATAGAACCAAAGAGTATTTAATTGTTCTTTAGGATTTTGGTAGTGTCAAAGGGTTTGTGTAGTATGGACTTGAGGGTTATGGGGACAGCTTTCGAGTGCTTTATTGTTTTGTTTCATATTGTTTACAAATGCCTATCGTTGGTAGATAAGACAGTTATATCACTTTCACGCTCAGACCAATAACATAACGAGGTTTTTCTTAATTAGAACACCATATTTTTAGAGGTCACTCACAACAGCCACACCTCGTGGAAATATCACGAGCCGCCACTGGTTTTGGTTGCTTTAAGCCACTCTTGAGCTATAATTTGTGGCCGGGTTGCTTCTGAAAAGGGGCCATATAGCTCAGTGGGCCTTACCTGGTGAAATAAAACATTGTTAGTTTAAACTGCTTGTTAACGTTCCCCATCTTCCCGTGTCTCAGGAGTTCTCTGAAGAAGAGGGAAGGGTACCTGGAGTGGCCTGAGTACTTCATGGCAGTCGCCTTCCTATCAGCACAACGCAGCAAGGACCCCCACTCCCAGGCAAGAGCGGTTAGCAAACAGTGGAATACTTATAGAGCGATAATATACATACTAATTAGCTTACTTTTGTCATTCCAATACTGGACCAAGATCTCCCAGCGCCATGTCAGTTGCAGGCATTATTTGACCATACTATTTTAACACGTTGGTCATTGCGGCTTGGTGAAGTGGCAGCCAAGGACTGGTTCAGATATCACTCATCATCTACGTTAGCTCTGGCTGGGAATTGAACTTGGATTAACAGGTTTGTAACACAGTGCGCTTACCCACTGCACCATCGCTGCGCCGCTAGTACTTGTCATTTTACTTAAATGCTCGCACGTCTTCAGCAACCCACACTGACCAGCATGGTCAAGTATGGTAAAATAATCTATGGTGACTGACACTGCATGGGGAGGCCCTCATCTATCCGTGAATTAACAATAGGGCTGTACATGTGCATTTGTAACTTCATTGTGTGTGCGCGCATGTGCAAGTTTTCACATAAACATATATGACCGTGAATGAAATATCACTGGAGCCAGGCTGCGTTACATGTCCGTGCATTTGCACATGTGCAGGTGGGAGCGTGCATTGTAAGTCCAGAAAACAAGATTGTTGGCATCGGCTATAACGGGATGCCCAATGGCTGTAGCGACGACTGCCTGCCCTGGGTTCGCACTGCACCTGACTGGATCGACACCAAGTACCCATACGGTGTGTGACTGCCTGCCAAGCCACGCACGAAGACATCCACCCAGTCACTCAGGGAAGACCCATGTAGCTGCTGTCCAGGCTTCCACAGTCACAAAGTGGACACATACCCAACCTTTAAACAGACACCAACTCGGTTACTCCCAAGACTCTGTCACTCGGACATCCACCCATAAACTAAGTCACTTTTCAGACACCTGCCCGCTCGCTAATCACATGCTCAGCCAGACACTTTGTGGTTTGTGCTGTGGTAATCCTGCACTAAAAACAACTGAAATCTATATTGTTCACTAGCGATACAAAATACGTGTCACCAATCTCAGTCCCTATGATTGCCAGTATACTGTGTCCCATACGTGTTATCCCACCTGTGTGGCCTCTGCCACCCTGTGTTCACACGTGCCGTGCTTGTCGTGTTCCGTGTGTGTCTGTGCTCATGTACGCGTGTCCCATCCGCGTCTCCCGCGTACCATCGCACGCGTGTGTGGGAGCAGTCTGCCACGCGGAGCTCAACGCCATCTTGAACAAGAACAGTTCAGACGTGCGAGGCTGCATTATATATGTGGCGCTCTTCCCCTGCAACGAGTGCGCCAAGCTCATCATCCAGAGTGGTCAGGCACACACGCATATGTGGACACACATACTACGCATGCACGTCCGTACATGAACACATATCCATATGAAGACACACCCGCACAGATTGATGTGCAAACACGCATAAGGCAAATATCTCCCTTATAGTGTAAATAGACTGTTAGGGCAAGTTCTGTTACCAAACACCTATTAAGGCCGGCATTGTACATGAGGGGGGGTGTGGCCAGCACCATGCCTGACCGCCTTTGTCTCCCCAGTGGAGATGTTTACACACTGCACCAGGTACTAATTTAAGGCCAAGTCGATCAAGGGGAGGCTCACTTTCAACTGTGATATAGCTGTGACCGAGAATAGAATTTGGGTAACCTGAGTTCGCTTGAGGGGAGGTCTAGGACTGATTTCAATTATCGTCACTGGTGTTGGACTTGAGTAATAATGGAACTAAGGTCACCGTGTTTGTAGCACTGCGTGCACCGGCACACATACATTTTTTTATCTTTAAGACCTTTTGTGGTGAGTTTTGTTGATTCGCAACAGAAAGATGATTGTGGTGATGTCACATGACATTAAAGGCATGTTGGGAGGACCAATCCAATGGGCTAAATAGTGCATTTTGCTGTGTAATAGGCACTTTTTATGACTTTCATTTGTTCAAAGGCAAAATCCAACTTTGTGAGTTTTTCCATAATGTACAGATAATATAAGAATTGGTTACTGAATATCCCCTGTATAGGCAGACGTTCATACTGTTTGGGCAAGTGCTCTTATTGAGTGTCTGTTAAGGCCAGCAAGGCACATGATGTAGTGGTGTGGCCAACTTTTGTTTCCCCAGTGCTGATGTTTACACATGGCACCTGGCACTCATTTAAAGCCGAGGCGACCTAGGGGAGTCCCAGCACCAATTCAGATATCACTCATAACTGGTTTGAGCTTTAGCTGAGAATTAAGCTCGGGTCGCCAGGTTAGTTGGTAGCACAAGGTGCTAACATCAATGCGACCCATCATCATCCTCATCCCTCTGTTTTTGGCACATGCAGCATTGTTATAAAATGGTGCACATTGAATCATCACAATTTCATTTGTAAAAAAAATTTGCGTCCTTTCTACATTTGTGTTTGCTCCATTAGCCTCAATGTAACAACTTATAAATGTAATGTAATTTGCATAAATCACGTCATCTGTTCTCATGGACGATTTATTTAACTATCTTGAGTGTAAGAATCAATAACTGATGCATTATGACATCTGTTTACTTGGATTATTGTGTGACTGTGCAGGTATCCGTGAGGTCGTGTACCTATCGGACAAGTACCACGACCGTCCAGAGATGAAGGCATCACGCACGCTGCTCAGCATGGCTGGGGTTAATTACAAGTGAGGACCTCTCTTCACGTTTATCCCCACTGTTCATTTCCAACGTTTTCGAAACTAAACTACATTTTATTTTATCAGGTAATGCCCACTAAGCTATATAGCTCTTCAGAAGCGACCTGTCCACAAATTTTAGCTCAACGAAGTGCCTTAGATCGCGTAAATATATAAATGTGTCGTTAACCTGCCACCACCCGACACAGCCAACTAGTAAGGGTTGTCTCGTAAACAGAACATGCCAATTCGTCACTAGTACAGCACACCGGTATCAATGATTCAATGCCTTGTTGATTTGTGCATCAATGATTCAACGCCCTGTTTTGTGCATCAATGATGCACTTAAACATTTTATTTCTGGGACAATATTTTTTGCAGGGGTGTACTTAACTCTGCAAATGGGGTACCAATCAATCCGAAATCAGTGCTACTCCGTGATGTTGAAACACAGCAAGGACGATTGCGCTGAAACCCTGAACGCTCGTATGCACCATAGTGCATCGTGTACAGCTCGTTGAGATGAGTCGATTGCCGCATCGCCGACCATCGACAGACTAAAAATGACTGCATCACGGACATTGTGCGAGAGCCGGGGTACTATGGTACCCTGGGGTACCGCCATCAGGTTCACATTCAGATCAAGGATGGAGATCAATGCAGGCCTTAATGATCTCCATGCCTCATTGTTTCATGAACATCAGTATCACCAATGTGTGGGAAATCAGTATGAATCGTCTCCACGTTAAATTGTCCCCGGCATAGGAATGTGGGATTCTCAAAAATAACACAGCCCCATGTTCATTTAAATATGGAAAATTTAATTTTGTAGTGTAAAATACGGAAGGGGAATGTTTCGGACAAGCCCTGCCTGCGATAAGAAAATTACTTGAAATACACCCCCATCTCGTCATATCTTGGAATATAAGCAAGGATGAGCCTGGATAATGCTTTTATTGGTGACCTTCATGCGGGTGTTTTAGGATGCTGTGGGGCTACGTTGTCAGCGGAGGGTAGTACTGCAATATCCTTTGTTGTACTGCACTATGCGCCAATGTCCATGCTCCCCACTTTCAACTCACACTGACCACCATGGTGAAATATTATCAGGCCTATATAAGACCTTGTTTTAGTAACTTTCACCTGAAGACGGTCGCATGTGTTGCGATCGAAACGTGATCTATTAATAAGTTTCTATCTACGTGACATTACGAACGCTTCCAATCAAGAATGAAATATGATCAAATAACTCCAATGATCCATGTGGCTTAAAAAAACCCTCATCCTTCAAATGAGCAATGTGTCTCACATAAATGTGCTCACACAAACCCATGTCTCCCTCACAGGCAGCTGTCTCCCAAGATGAAGAAAATCGAGATTGACTTTGACGTGATCAACTCCCCTGGGGGGATTAACATCTCGTAGCAACGGTCACCCCCATCATTTGTAGCGAGCAAGGCGAGAGTGGCATCCACTGTTCCTGTGCATGCAGCCGTGTATGTGCGAGTTTAGATTTGAGCACCTTATGTAGATGTGGTGCTGCTGTAAACGCCAGCATTGGGGTGGGGGACAAAGATGGACATGTGTGGTGCTGGCCTTACTGCTGCCATGCATGCACTGTCCCGGCCTCAACTGGCGCCTGCAATATGCTGTGTAATCAGATGTAGTGACAAGGGCTTGCTTTAGTGGCAGTCTTGTTTTTTAAGCTGCACATTTATTTATTTTTGTGGTAGAGTCAAGGTCTCTATTTGCTGCTTCTGGGATATTAAGACTTTTAACATGCTGTTTTAGGGATAAACATGTCATTTGTGTAGAAATGCTTCACCGAGTCATAATACATTTTCAGGGGGTTCTCCATGGAGATGTTTTGGCATTTTTTGGGTGGGGGCAAACGCATGCGAGATAAATTCCTACGCCTGAGGAGGTAACTCCTAATTCTGTATATGCAGTTAACCTACTTGTTTTACCGTTTTCTGCTCGGTGAGATGTCACTTTGAATTCACGAACCTTTGCTTCCAACTTGTTTGCAACTCCGTGCACTGTTGTAGCTGACGTGAGTCTGAGGTGCGTTAAAATAAGCCACTGTATACCTTAGGGGTGGGGAACATTTTCTTGTACGAGGCCCAATACCTTTGGCAGGCTACACATGAACACAAACCTGTCGCTTGTCATTGCAAGAGGCCCGAGCATAATTTATTAAGTGTTTTGTAGGTCGAAATACTTTAGTACCCAAAAAGTATGGCTAATATGCAGTGCTCTGGTAGGCCTAGTGGCCATGTACAATCGTCGCCCATGCAAGTACAATCGGGCTTAAACCTTTGCTTCGAGATCAGGCATATTTCCGGTGTTTTGTTGGCATTTATTTAACACAAAAGTAGACATTAAAAACGCGTGCTTTTTAAGTGAAACAAATACATCACTGCCCCCACGGCACGTTTGAGACTCCGTTTGTCTTAATGAACGTGAAACCATTCCAAGGTACTCCAGTCTAATAAATGCATGAAGGAAATTATCTTAAGTGTTTGAACTGATCCTCATGGTCCACCTCTTCACGACTCCTGAAACCAACTCACTGCACACTAAAGATTGATGGTTGGGAATCGCACATCGAGGTGGGGGGTAAGGTCTGTTTTGAAACACTTCTTGTCCTTATGTAAAAAAGTATGAAATATTTTAGCTCCATAATCAAGCCTCTTGGCTTTTGTAATAATTTGTTTGTGGCAGACAAACTTTGCAAGGAAATTCTTGTGGTGACATCTTTACACATGGTTACGCCACTTCATCTCTCAATTAACGCCAGTTTAATATACTTAGGTTTTTGCTTACATTAGAAGCTCTGAATCTAACTACAGCATGGTGGGGCGCAGAAGGGAGCGATCACAAGAAAAGCTTTGGTCAGACAAGATGCACGTGTACAACACTTTTAATCGCATCTGCACACATGTGAAAACATGGATGTGAGCATAAGGTATGGGTGGATGTGTGCTCTTATGGAAGTGTGTACACTTGTATATGTACAAGTGGGTGTGCACAATTGGATGTTTTCGCTTCCCCACTGACTCCTACAGCAGGCCCAGCTGCTTCTCCATCATCACATGTGGCTCCCCCATCACCTCTGCATATTCTGGGTCTGCATGTACACAAGTACAAACACCATCATAAATACGCACACAAGCTCACATGCACAGTTAAAACACCATCACAATATAATTTGGATTTATATGGCATCTAAATGCAACTGCATCTTGATGCATAACAGGAACAGTGAAAATAATATTCTTGATAAAGGCAATCGCACCGATTAGCATGGTTGGCTATGTACGGTGTGAAAGAAGTTCAAGGTACATAGAAATTATAAGCCTGGAATTCTGCAGGCAGTCAACAGCACAGAGCAGGAGTCATGAATTTCCAAATGGGAAGGCTAAGGAAAATGAGGCTGACTTGGGAGCTTAAATTGAAAGCCTTCCTTAGTTGCTGAGTGGGCAGTGTGGAGGGAAGGGGTCAGGTATTCAGATGTAGAATCTCAATAAGATGAGCGCTATTGTTAAATTGATCCAGGATTGCATTATTTGTGATATTCGATTTTTGGGTGCGGGTGAAAAGTCCGGCATCACATACAGCACCATGCGCATATATTTTTTTCCCCACATACACATGATAGCTAACATAAAACAAAATCTAAGTGACTGCACAAATCAGACGTACACATTTGAGTTTAGGTACACAGGAGAAACCAAACAATTTAGTACCAAGTAGACACTCAGGTTTCCTGTATGCAATAATTGTGTTTGCACACTGCAGCATGGGTTAAAATACGTACCATTCAGAACATGCTCAAAGCCCAAGTAGTCATCGAAACCCCTGATGGTGTCCAAGGCAACCCGAGAGCTCTGCAGGCAGGGCAATCTTTGCACCTGCATTCACACAAGTTAAATTCATTTTTAAAGTGCTATTATACAAATACTGAGTGTCCATGGACCAGCCAATGTAACTCAAGTTGGTCATCCCATTAAAAACAGTTAAGTCACTAACCAGATTACATGGTAACAAAGCATATGCATGGGCTACTCCACTCAGATCCAAGCAAGTGTCCTGCCTTAAAATGCATCTCCCCCATCTGATTTTATAACTCAAACACCCACATCTGACACAGGCACACACTTCTTCCATTCCATCACCCCATGCTCATATTTACACGTCCTGTAATTCATGCAGGAAAATGCCAATGGGTGAAGACTATGGAGGGGCACTGTATTGAGATGTTTGAGCAATGTGTGATTTTACCTTCATAAGAAAACAGCGCATAGATAAAACCCACACAAACAAGTGGAACACACATGCTATACTGTATAATCTTCCAAAACACTGCTGTACTGCCACCTTCAGGAAACACCGCATTGCCCTTCTGGTAGGCAGGGTCACTTGTGCATGAGCCACAAACTCCACCTCTAGATTGGAAGAATGGAGGCGTCATTGCCGATACGTCCCTCTCTTCTGTTCGTCACGTAGCCGTTCTCACCCATAACCCACCTGTGAGGCAGCTCTCATTTCCATTTGCAGGCGTAGTGGTGCATGCAGACCCTGAATCCGTCGTAGCGTCTGCAGTGACAGCTGCTGCTGTTGCAGGTCATACTGGGGTGAGAGGACGGGGGTCATGGGGGGTATTTAAGGGCATTGACGCAAGCGCTGCGATTGGCGAAAAAACCTAAATCTTGACATCCCCCTTGTCACACCAAAATCAATCTTCACATTCAATTGAGACCTTACAGAAATCCACAGCGAAATTTACAAATTAGTTGCAAGAGCACTTGCCATTGAGTTCCAGAGTACTCATCATTTAATGTATTTCAAATGCATTCCTATCAGCATTATTTCACTTTAAGAGAAATGTATTCTTTTGAGTGATCGCTACTTAAGTTAAAATGTGTTCTTGTCAAGTCACTAAAAATGTAGCAAGTTTGCATTACAATAAGCACTAACCCTGTAGCTACATTCCGGGATACTGGGGTTCGTGAATCTTTAGCTCATTAAAAACAACCCACTGTGCGTATGTTGAGCTTTCTTCGCACCGTATGTAGCCAACCATGCTAATCAGACGTGGCAGTAGGTGTGGTTGGCATTGGCCCTGATGCAATAGATTGTCACCTGTTAAATTTTTACCCCCTCTGTCGGCTGGTGCCTCGGCCCTTCCAGCTTATGGGGTTCAGTTAAATTGCATTGCCCGCTGACTCGATAGCGACGGCACCAAGGCAGGGTGAGTAGGAGGGTTACGTACTTGCTTTTCGGAGGCTTCTAAGGGATGCGCAGCAGTAATGTTGTTTCGCACGCTCGTAAATCTGAACGAACAAAACCATAGCCACTATATAAACAATGACACAGCTGCTATTCAAGTATATAGATCAGCAATTGTATAATCGTGTGGCCATCACTCAATCTCGCTTCCAACAGGTACAGTTAACACACCCAAGGCATACCATTCAATCAAACCACGACCCACCCAATGAAAGCCACTGCTGTTACTAAACACTCGCAATCACAGCCAGTAAACAGGTGTACGAAACTTCACATCCATAACCCACACAGGCACCACACTCTATTAAATTTGTATATAATGGTAGAGATGTGATTGTGCGACAGGCAGTACGGTTGCGTGCACGGTGATCTGCAAAAATCGTGGCATTGGTTTTGCATTCAGTCAATTTGTGAAATGTGTATTCAATAACGGTGCAAACAAACTTTCCACCAATAAACTTGTATATTTTTCAGTATCGGGGGCCAAGGCGACGTTATATTGGAAACTAGCAGATGTTCCGTGTAATACTTAAAAGTCTGAAAATGTATTTGCCACTCAAGTAATTTAAGCAACGCTACAGCCCACGACGCCCTCGTACCTCGCGAGACGTTTATCACTATTCACACCGTCAACAATCATCATTATTCCCAGTCACCGTTCATCATCGCCACTGTTCTCATGCCCCCCCCCCACCCGTGGCGCTGGAAACGTACCCCTTGCGCAGGGTGTCGTGGGCACCGTAGATCCCCGCCTCCACGTGCGCCTCCGACGCCTCAGTATCCCGGGACAAAGCACGAAGGCCCGAGACGTTCTGTTGGGCGACATCGCCACCATCACCACCGCTCTCACCACCCTCGTCATCATCACTCGGCCGAAGCCAACACCACTTGCGTTGCCAATGCGCTCCAACGCGTCGCCGTGAGCGACACAATTACGATGACGTTTCACTGCCACAATCAACATCGGTACCACAATATTAACATCACCACAACTGTAATCGCCACCTCAATGACAGAGCCATCACAATCGCCTCCACGACGACCAACACCACCACCGCTCCATCTGCGGCCTGCTCCCGCAGGCTCTCGACTGAGCGCCAATGAATCGGCGCTTCTTTTCATCTTATCCCTCCCTCCTATTATCGACCCCTCTGTCGTAGCGCCCTTCCCTTCGCCTCCCCCGAAAAAGAAAGCTCACCATTGCTCGCAGGTGACAAACAAAACAAGCAACAACAAATTAGGGAAAAGAGGGAAGGAAAAACGAAGCGAGTCCGGGTGGCGTTGCGCGGTCCGGTCTGAAGGCGGGAGGGGGGGGGAATCGGGCGGTGATGTCATCACGCACGCGGCGACGTCATCACGCACGAGGCGACGTCCTTGTCAGCACAGTCCTTACGTCTTCAGGGTGCCCATGCGTGGTTACGTCATCGCGTGATGACGCAGAATCAACGTCCCCGAAAACAATTCTGAGCCCAATTTTTTATTTGCGAGCCAATGTCTATTTATAAGTTCAGAATCAGACTCAGCGCATGTATTTATACTGGAGGAATCCGGTGAGCTATAAAGCAATTTTTTTGTCACCGATGTCCAGTAGGAGCGGGTAAGAACGTTGCAACAAATACAAAAAAATATGAAAGGGGGTGCAAAGTACAAGATAGCTAAACAAATCACCCAAACAAAATAAAACGAAACCATCCCCATCTCGTGTTTCCTGCAGTTCCTTATTTCCCACTGGACGTTAATTTAAAAAAATAAAATCTGAAAATCTGAAATGTGTTTTTTTTTTGTCTTCGTGCAAACAAACGCGTGCGACGCGTCAAATACAATCGCGCGTGAAGTTATTTGCACGCAGTCAACGAAGCCACATTCGTAACGGCGTATATCGATCGACAATAAACGCATCATCGGGATGCAATTCTCTTCAATGAAGGAGGAGAAGAAGAAGAAGCGACTGAACGGGTGAGTGGGCTCTCACGTCCACGTTTACAGAGACAACTCTCCGCAGCTCCCGGGGAGACATTGCGAGGACGGTGAGCTGCTTCTTCTTCTTCTTCTCTCCATCGTTGCCGGTCGTCGCGACGTTTCGAGCCCCTTGCCGGCGGGCGACTTCAGTGCAGCGGCGGCGGGCCCGTCAGGCCCCCGTGGGCCCCTCCCTCACCCCCCCACTCCCTCCCCCCACCCCCCTCATTGACGCTGCCTCTACGCCGCGGCAAAAGCATCGCCCCTACTACGAGGCGAACATATAAACCGTGCAAGATTATTGAACACCACCTCCTCCCCTCCCCCGCTGTAGCGTTGCTTTGTGCGCGAGAGAGATTTATTTGGTCGGTAGTCGCGTCCGTCGGGTGAGAGTTCTCTTTTTTAATTGTGATTGTGTGGTTTGAAGTTGACGTTTGCAAGTTGCTCGGTCATCCTTCCCCACGCCACCCCGACCACCACCGTCCACTCGGCCGAGAGGCCTGCGCTAGGCCCTCGGTTGCGGTTTCTAGGCGAGGGCACCCCCCCCCCTCCCCCGTGTCTCTGGTTTTTTGTTGTTGGCTTATAAACAAAACATCGTTACAGACACTGCGGGATGGGTTCATATGTAATTCGTACAGTCGCGTGGTTTCCGTTTTGGATTTGTTGCTGGCTGGTGATGCGATGTTTTTCTTGTTTGGGGGTTTATCCTTTTGAAATCCATTGAATGGGAAGGCCTCGGAAGAACCGGGCCTGATGGCTCGGTGTGAAACGACGGGAACCAGGAACATTGCCCGAAACGTCGTCTGTTATACTTTTTTTTGTAGGCAGTATTATTGACATGTAGAGGTCTATGGATTCGGTCAATCGCAATGATTTTCCTGTAAAATTGAGACGGTTTACAGCCCTGAGCAGTCGTGAAAAGTTCCCGATTGCTATGGCCGGGGCGAGTGTGTTGTTTTCCTTTAATAGGACAACCACTGCTTACTTACCGAAAAGAGTGGTTACTCATTGTATCGACCCCGGGAGAGATGATGGACTGAGCCATCCTCCAGCCAGGATTTGAACTTCTCAGCCTTGCGATTGCGAGCCGCTCACTCGAGATCGAGACATCTGGTCGGTCATGTATAGATTTCCCATCTTTAATATTGTGAAAGCTGTGGTTCTATGACTTAACAGAAGACGATTTGTTAAAAAAAAATTACGCACGTTTATTTCAATGTTACACCCACAACCATTTTTGTTGTGGATTGGGGCCGCTGGTCATTGCGGGTTGAAGGCAGGAAGCATAGAAATTGGGGCTAAGTACAGTGAAACAATTGAGTATTCTGCACTGCCACCTGCTTCCCACCACGAAACCCTGCTGCCTATATATGTTATGAATGGTAGTCGAGGATTCCAGCATTATCTCAACTCAACCCTTCTGATCTGAGATCTGACACGGTCTAGAGCAGTCTGGCAAATTTAGTTGTACGCGTGCCAAGCTGAGTTTGATTCCCGGCCACGACCATCATCAGTGGTGATGATCTGAGCTAGTCCTAGACCTCCCCAAGGTCAGCTCGGCCTTTAATGCCTAGTACGGTGTGCTCACGAACAACGCTTGCCCCCAAGTCTGTTAAAGGCTGCATGCAGAATATTTGTGTGTGGTGTGTGCAGGTCAGCGGTTGAGTAGCGCTTAGCGCGCTGCGCTACGAACCCAGCGAACCAACACCCAGTGACGATTATCTGAACCGGTCCTGGGCCTTCCATAGGTCAACTTAACCTCAAATGATACCTGGTAGCGGTGTGTAGTAAACATCACCACTGGGGAGACGAATGCGGCCAGCGTGGTGCTGGCCACCCACCGCCTCGTGTCCCGTGCCGGCCTTCATAGGTGCTCGCAAACAGCACTTGCCACAACAGTATGTTAAGGCTATGGGGGGGGGGGGGTCTTTGTCTTTTGTATGCAGGTGAACCAAATCAACATGGCGGAGACAGAAGACACCAGGAACGCCGGGGGCGATCACGGCGAGGGCCCCCCCGGTGGAGCAGGAGCAGGAGCAGGTGGAGGAGCAGCAGCGGCACCAACCGTGGCTGTGAGTGTCTCCCCCTCCACGTGCCTGTGTCATCCACACGGCGATGGACAACTAGGGGGTAATGGATAATGATTTGCGTTTATAGGGATATCATTTGTGGCAAGGTTGCTTCGAGAAAAATAAGTTAATTGCTCAGTGGGCATTACCTGCTAAAAGTTTTAAAAATAGTTAAGTTTTATTTGTATACTTTTTTTGTGAATTGTTTACTTTACCTATAATTTGCACTCCTATCGTGTTTTTGTATTGTTTGCTGTTGTAACGTTCTGGCATGCCCCTACTGGCCTATTGGACATCTGTGAAAAAGCTATTTATAGCTCATCAGATTCCTCCAGTATAAATAAATATTCTGATTATGATTCTTAAATGCTCAGGACCTCAAAGCATATTACATCACATTGAAACTCAACCATTACATTAACCTACAACAGTCAAGCCTAGGGGACCCCAATGTCAACCATCCTTACTCAGTACAAGGTATGCAGGGCTGTCTTAGTTCCCAGTGCAGGCATGGATGGGCTATGTGCCAAGATCTATATGCAACGGCAGCTACACGCATCACACTTACCATGGTAATTATTAGGACCTTCCTTAATAATAATGCCTCACTTGCAATACACCGTTCCACAATGCTGGTGCTTGTTAGGACAATGGTGGTTCTGATATTGGTATTGATTCTGGTGATGATAGCAATACAATTCAAAATTATGCTACTGATGCAAGTGGTTGCAGTGGTAGTGATAATTGCGGTAACAATGACGGTGGTGGTGATGATGGCAGTGTAACTCATAATGGTGTTCCTGATGGCAGTGCTTGCATTTTAGATATCGATGGTGGTGTTGATGATGATTATAGTGATGTGTAATTGAGATTAATGAAATTATCGTCCTCTACTATTTGTCTATGTTCCTCCCTGCCCATCTCTGCCTTCCCAGCAATTCCTACTGGCAAACAAGGTAGAGTCAGCCATGTGGGTATCCAGGTTGTCCACCGTCATGTCGTCCATCCTCTTCTTTATCCCTCTGCTGGGGTGAGTATGGGAAGCCTGTAAACTTGTAGTTTGGGGGGTGTGTATATATATTCAGGTTTGTGTATTCACATTTGGCATATCTTAGTGTTTGCTCAAATATGTACTTGCCTCTGAATTTCCATGTTTTCCAGTATGTCTACTCACATGTGCATAACATTGGGGGAACTCATAAATGCACACATGTGTGTGTACCCACAAGTGTACCCGAGTGTGCGAGCCCATGTGTCCAGTATGTCTATGTTCAACAACATCAACAAATTAAATGTTCATAGCTTCTCAATGAAATTGCATCTTAAGACGCTTTACATCAGTAAAAATATCGATACATTAGGTAGATAGGGGGCTCACAACATAGAAACTTAAGAGCTAGAAGATAATAACACCACGGCACAGCCGCGGAAGAAGCATCAGGGGCACAAGCAGCAATAAAAAAACCTTTAGGACAGCCGGGAAAGCCAGAGTAGTGCCAACGAATCTAAGTCATCACCGGGTGGCTGGGACCCGTTTAGGCATCCACATGTGCATACTCGTATGTGAACTCAAATGTTCATATCTGTGCGTGTACCCACATGTGTCAATGCATCCATGTACTTGCCTATGTTTCCTTTATGTGTACTCACGTGTGCATACTTGAATGCGTGCGTTCTCTAGGACGGGCCAGGCGAGTGCATGGTTCCAGCGAGCGCTGCTCTTCTCGGCGCTCACAAGCGCACTGCGCCTACATCAGCGGTTGCCACACCCGTCACTGAGCCGCGTCTTTCTAAGCCAGGCGCTGCTTGAGGATTCGTGCCACTACCTGCTATACTCGCTCATCTTTGTCAACGCCCAGCCCATCACCAGTATCCTTGAGCCAGCCATAGCGCCTAATCTCAATCGTAACCCGTACACTAAGTAACCCGAACATGACCACTAACTCAACCTATCGCCAGTATTCTCAACCCATCGCTGGCCCAACTCTTAACGCTACCTCCAATGATAACACTACCTCTTAGACTGATGATATGTTTTTCATATAGCGCCCTATAGGGCACTATATAGTATCCCTATGTGAATATTATTGTGTCGCATCACAAATATCATGGAGCCAAGTGTTGACTCATTAACACTCACTTTAACATCAACATCCACCAAAATCTATTAAAGGTTTTCAGCCATAGTCCAGACCCTAATGCCAACACATAGGCAAACCTTAATACTGACATGGTCTACCTTAGCACTGTAACACTGCACCTATAAACCCACAATCTTTTCCTTGACCTTGCTCTTGCACAAACCATAACCTCAGCTTCACCCTTACAATAAATCTAGTCCAACCCTAGGTCTAGCGGTGGCCATGCATACACTGAAGGGATGTCGACATGTGGTGCTGGTGATGTCGGCGGTGGTGATAGACCTGGTGGTAGTAATTGTGACTATCTTGACAATCTTGCTGATAATGTTGGTCGAATTGTTGATGATATTCCTTGATGGCGCTGCAGTGAGTTTGCTTCCCGTGTTCCTGTTTTCACTGCTGCACGCAACGGCGCACAGCTTCAAAGTGCTTAACGTGAGCATTCGCCTAAACCTGGACACAAATGCACATGCCTGCGCAAACACCACACGCACCTACGCACACGCATGAATACCTACACAAATGCACACACCTAAATACACACCTGAACACTCGTACACACACACACCTGCAAACATCCACATATATCTGTTCATGTCTAAACTGGTGAATATGTGTATATGCCTCTACATGCACCTGAATCTGATCACACCTTTATGTATACACATCTCTTCCCACATGTGTTTGTGTCCTTGTCTCCATTTCCCTGTGTTCCGGTGTTTTGTCATCCCTTGAGTCTGTGATTGACCGTAAATCCTGTGTGTCCCACCTGTATGTCCACACATGTCCTTGCATACGTGTCCTCTCATGACCTCGCTTATTCCCGTGCGTCCACGGGTCCCCACGTTTCTTTCTGTGTCCCCTCGCAGATCCTGGGCCCTGGCTCGATGCCACTTGTTCGCTCCTTCCTGACACGGGTGTCTGCGCAGCAGCAGAACATCCTGAAGCTGGTGGCGTGCAATGAGATCTTCCTCATGCCTGCCACGCTGCTTATGCTCTTCAGGTAGTCGGGAGGGTCACTGTAAACGTGGGGAGTGGGCTGCGTTTTTTGTAAAAGAGTATCGAACAATGAGAATAGGTTTTCCCCCTTTTTTCTGGCAACAAACAGGTGTTAAGATGTTAATACTCCAAACTGAAACCTTTTACAAGGAATAATGTCTGCAACATTCTGACCACACCTTTCTTGATATGGGAGAATGCAAACATTCTGACCACAAGTATTGTGGTTAATGCAGACATGATTCCTTGTAAAAGGTTTCAGTTTGGTGTTTTAACATCCTAACACCTGTTTGTTGCCAGAAAAAATGGGAAAACCTATTCTCATATTTGGGTATTGGAAAAGGAGGTCCCATGATTAAGTATCGAACAAGTCACTGTTCTTCCCGCCCCTGCAATTTGATGAATTATGATTTGGTGGGTCACGATTTCATCCAATTATGTTTTTTACCGTTGCAGTCCGTTTAGGTTTCTCAGTGGGTGCAGTGTCTACATGAACAAATTACATTTAACATATGGGCAGTTCCACAAATTGGGCAAATTAACATTCCAAAATTTCAGAATCATCCTAATTATACATATGGTTGTGTAATTCTTCATGGATTATTTGTGGAGTAAAGTAGTGGTTTGACAAAAATACAAAACTGAATGAAAAAGTCAGTTCATCTGAGTACATCTGACAATGTGGTACTTTATAACAATTTCTCCCATATCAAGAAAGGTGGAAAAATTATTTGTGTTTGAATTATTGTTGTAATTAGTTGACAAATCCTGCCCAATAATAATCCACTATGATTATACGAATGTAGAATTAAATGTATGTCCGAAATGTTGGTAATGTCCATATGCGAATCCAAATCTTGACGATTTGTTGCATGTATTGTAAGCATAGGAATCAATTTTAATTAATCAAATGAATTGATACATCATTACATTAATTCTAGATTTGAAGCTTTCGTGACTGCAAGGATTCATACTCTTTGGTTTTATTCGGTAAAGTCACGTAGGTAAAATAAAATAAAACAATTAAATCAGTGATTTAATTATTTTATTTTAAATCACTGATTTAATTGTTTTATTTTATTTTACGTACGTGACTTTACCAAATAATACCAAAGATTACATCATTACATTCCTAAGTTAAAAATATTCACTCTTGAAAATATAGTGTGCTTGGACGGGATACGTCTCTAGAAGGAACGGTGGCTGTTAGTCAAGGCTAATGAGAGAGTGGCAGCGGAAATGGAATGGTGAGATCAGCTGATGCACAAGAGCGAGATGAATAATGGAATCACAAGGTCATGAGGGATGAGGCCATAAATGCAACATTTGCTAGATCATGGCTGATGATGAATTAATGCATGTCACTCCTCCAGCCACTCATGGTGCTACATTCACGATCTAAAAATATAAATGATTGAATTTAATTGTGACTCGAAATCATAACACAACGTACAACTGCTGTGGGGGCCAAAAATACCGGTGCTCTGGCCTGCTATGCTGGGTGATTTTCTGCAGAGTTTGGTGGTATTATGTAAAACTGAAATATGGTTCAGAAAAACGACTTTTAAAACATTTGTGCTCCTTATTGAAATAACTCAGATTGACGTCAATAAAGAGGACTTAGAAGAACATAGTTCTACAGGAAGTGATGTCCATGATGAAGGAAGGAAAGGCATGGAAGAAGTTCGTTCAGCCTCATCGTCGGCCACCACGTAATGAATGACAATTGAATTGAGGGGTCCTGACCTGTGCATACCTTTGGGCACTTTCCCAACAGAAAAAAACATGTAGGCAGCTCTGCCGGCGCTGTGTGCTTTATAATGGTGCTGTGCACATTCTAATGGAGCCGCATCTTTGTGTTTCCGGGTGCAGCGGCCACTGCAGCCTGTTCCTGCCCTTCTTCTACTACCGCTTCCTGACCCTGCGATACGCATCCCGGCGCAACCCGTACTGCCGGTATGAGAGGGGGAACGCGAGAGAAAGTGTGACGGTGTGGGGGGGGGAAGGCAGCAGCAGTGAAGAGAGAGGGGTTGTGTGTGTGCAAAGTATGATGTTACATTGTGCATTGTTTTGCTGTGTGCGTGGCTGTTTGCCCCAGGCCTTGTGCCCCAAGTTTCGTTCGTTATGCAGTGTGTGTTGTTGTGTATTGTCTCGTGTGATGCATTACCACGTGCGTAATGGTGTTGTTTTTATTTTGTGTTTTGTTATTGTGCATAATGGTTTTTATCACTTAACTTTATCAAATACTTGGTGTTAACATGGGTGTTCTGTTGTTTTTTACATGTAGCGATGTGTTTTTTTATTTTGTGTTGTCTCATCATATGGTACTGTGTCATGCTGTGGGGCCACTGGTGTTAACATCTGGTGGCACAGTGGTTAGTGCACTGCGCAATGAGCCCGGCGATCTTATTTTAATTTCTGGCCACGGCTAATGTCAAAAGGCGAATGAAATATCAACCAGTCTTGGAACCCTTCACATGTATTATGTTACCGTATGTATTGTATTTCGTGTGTATTGTATGCTTACCCAGTGTGCAGCGTTACTAAGTGTATCGTGTTACCACGCGTGTGTGTCGTGTGTGTACCCAACGCCGTGGCGTGACTGTGTTTGCCATGTTTTCGCGCGCGCGCGTGTGTGTGTGTACGCAGCGTGTTGTTTTCCGAGCTGCGGATGGCAGTGGAGTCTGCAACAGCGAACCCGTCGTGCCCGGCGGTGCTGCGCTCGGCATCTCAGAGAATCATCGGCTTCGTCAGCCGCCTCGCTCCGCCCGTGCAGCCCTAGAGCAGCCCCCGCTCTGTGCATACAAACACACACACGATATACACACACACATACACTTCATACACACGCATGCATACACCATATACGTGCAACATATATATACACACACACACCATATCCACATACATGATACACATGTAATACAGACAATATACACACACAGACATACAAAGACAAAGATCCCCTGTGTAACCTTAACAGCACCTGTGAAGGCCAGCACGGTACACGAGGGGGTGCGTGGCTAACACCACGCCTGACCGCTTTTGTCTCCCCAGTGGCAATGTTTTTACACACCGCACCAGGTACTCATTTGAGCGAGTCCACCTCGGGGAGGCCCAGGACCTGTTCAGATAATCATCACTGGTGTTGGCCACGAGTGGGAATGGAACTCGTAGCGCAGTGCGCTAATCACTACACTACCGCTCCCCACATGCATACAAATATAGATTCATGCATTAATACACATATACAAACATATCCACACACACTTTACATGTACATATGCTATAGATAGTCCATACCTGTCAACCCCTTATCAGTGCCTGCCTTATTTCAGACTAATTCAGACTTGATTGGTCACCCCGTGCCCTTATAAATATCAATGTTCATCCTACAAAGTCCCATCACAAGGGAGAAACACAAACAAATAGACAAAAACATGTTTGCCCATATTGAAACGGCTGCACGCCATATGGGCCTGAAAACTCCCCCTGTACAAGAATTTGGGTAAACCGTATGGGTTGACACGTATGAGATACACATATGCACATACACCAAATACACACGTTCACACACACAGATGTACACGTAGATAAATCACGTACACACCATATAATATAATTACATAAATAGACACACTGTACACACGTAGATACACACACCACAGACAGACACCATATACATAGATACATCCTCTAGCAATTCATAATTGTCACGATTTGGGGTGGGTTTCGATTCAAGAATCGATTCTATGTAGTTTTTACCATCCTATTTTAATTTTTTCTCATTTATTCCATCTTGTCTGTACAGTCTTGCACACTCCATTAGCCTAGCACATAATTTGTCCAAATCGTAAATAATAGATTCTTATATGCACGGTTCGATACATGCAGCGTACGTTTAAAAATCTTAATATATGAATCATTGCATTGTCAAAATGCCTAATATACATATCCTGCGCGCAGATAAACGCACAAATGCATACACACATGCACCATACAACTATTCACATTGTTACATGATACTACGTATGTATGTATTTGTACTATACATGAAAGCCGATGTAGATGCGGAATTAGATAAATTATACAGCGTGCTATGTGCTACAGAAGCATGAACTGGTGGTCTCGGTTGTGCTTATCTAGTTTTGCCAGTGGGTTGTAACACCTTTCTACACGATACTACCTTCCTCAGTTGGAATAAGCAAGTTCAAGGCTCGGCATCGTCTGCTTCTGTATAGCATCCAGAAGCACACGATCGTAATTTCATATATACGTACGTATATACAGATTTCTGCACAAAGCACATTCACATGTACCATGTAAGAATTCGGTGCACAAACATGGACATCATATACACGAGTATACCGCACAGACCATACACCGCTGCACAAACTATATGCCAGAGGTTCACCTGGGGGGGGGGAGGAGGGGGGTGCAAAAGGCAGTTCCTTCGCCTGCTTCCCCCCCCCCCAAATGTTCCTTACACATACACATGCATTTACACATCATATATACACGCACATCGCTACACGTATAAAACCATACACATTCATGCACACATGGATACACATACAACCCATATACACACACGTAAACCCAGAGCCTCACACACCATGCGCCATGACACTTAAAACCATATACCCAGAAACATGCAAAGACTACCAGTATAAGCACACTCGCACAACACACAGCTAGATGCCCGCACTATATGCACATAGATGCTCCACACCACAGAGTCAATATCCCTACATCCCCCCCACACACTACGCACACCCAAATGCCTAAACCCACACATCACTTACAAAAGGCCCCTTGGCTGCAGCACACACCTCGCAGCATCTCTATTTCTCACACCTTGCACATAGACACCAAGATGCTCATCCCGCACAGAAGTCCAGTCATCACCCCCTGCATCCCTTGAACCTCATGCACCCTAGCTCCAGACCCTGCCTTCTGATTAATCACCCAGGACCAAACCCCATTCCTAGCTATTTAAGTCACTGCTACGAACACACCAAGCTATTGTGTGCGCGTGTGTCTACCCCAAGATGTGTACGTGTGTTTGTACTTGTGCGTTCACAAACGCATGTGTTTTTGTGCTTATTAGTTCACACATGCACGTTCGTTTGTGTTGTGCATTCACAAATGCACGTGTGTGCCTTGCTAGCGTGCACATTCACAGACGCTCGTGTATTCGTGCCCATGCTTTCCTGCAGCAGCCCGCTGAATCACTGCCGGTGTAGCCATCAAGGTTAAAGTTTTAAGTGGGCTGGACCCTTCCCTTGATATTGCTGTACACAGGCCCACGTGTGTGTCCATCACTTTCAAAGTGTGGCCTCTAAAATGGCGAAGCCTATTTTCCTTGACATTCAAATCATACAGAGCTATCCCCAGGCCCATGTGTTCCCACAATCTGGCAGGCGGAAGGAAGTAATGGTAAGGTGTGGTGGTGGCGGCATCACCGGCGTTGCCCATGCATTCTTCATCGAGGCCGAATAGCTGTGATCATAAGCATGCGCCTTTGGACCACTCTCTTAAGACATGGTTGGTGAGGGGAAGCGGATTTTCAAGGCTGCTTGCGCGATGTTACAGATGATGGGCGGTTGGGTAACTCAGGGGTTCTCAGTTTGACGGTTCATGGACTGCTGTGGGAGAACATGCATCCGGGGATCTGTAAAGAGGGTTATGGGTTTGTGAAATGCTAAGGGTTTCATGAAGAAAAAACAAGCTCTGTGCCTGATTCATGTGTTCCCCCTCTCCCCTCTACAATTTAATTCATTGGTGTTAGTCTTAAATATTTTAGTTTTTGCTATACAGTACTGTATGACTACAAACTTGCTCACTACAGTGCAGTTCTGATTGTGGCTGTCTCATCGCGTGACCAAGCGACACCTCAAAACCCAAAGGTAGCGAATTCCCTTCCGTGGTCAATTGGACCCATATATTAACACCTCTGTAGGGTCGAAACAATGAGTGAGTTGCTCTTGAATTGAAGTCAGCTCTGGTCTCCCTATGCAGATACTGGTCCCTGTCAGAGGAATGTGAAATTTCCACCAGCTGGCTCGAGACTGCCAATGGCGATGAGCATAGGCCAATACTCATTTGAGCAGAAAGACTTTTAATCTTTGTAAAGTCTCCTCGGTTTGGTTGAGGAGGTTGAGAAACCTATGGTAGTGAGCATTTAATGCAATTCTGTCCGACCAGGACCGTGGTAAGAATTTAACTTAAAACAAGCTTCACGAAATTAGCATGCAGTTGTGTTTTGAGTTTTCTTACTCTCTGGAAGAATTGATTTTTGGTGATTATTGTGAGGATTGATGGTAAGAATAAAATGTTGACATTTAAAATTAATGTGTGTGTAATAAATGTTCACGGTTTTTTTCAAAGGTATAGAAGTAGAAAGACTCCCATCACAAGGAAAAGTTGGCTTCAATTACATTTATATAAGTTTAGAAGAAACCCTCTGCTTGGTTAAGATATGTAGATGACACATTGGTGGTCTGGCCACACGGCAAATATACACTTAACGAATTTCTAAATCAACTCACAAAACCAATCCATCCAGTTCACCATGGAAGTGGAAGCTGACAGAACTCTACTTTTCTGGATATTCTGCTCGTATGCCGTGGAAATGGTAAAATAACACAGCGTTTACCAAAAAAAAGCCACACCATCACCCCGCACAGGAATCCTTTCATCCAGATGATCATCGGGCATGGTGATAGTCTGAGAAGTGAAATTAAACGTTAAAGAAGCGCTGTAATTGAATGGATACAATGATATACAAATCAACAGGGCACTGAATGCCGAAACCAAATCAAATGACACGAGTGTTGAAACTGACCAAGTAATTCAAACTATGAAAATACTATACATTGGGGGAGTAACTAAAAAACTAGCCAGATTTTTGGAAAAACAAAACATCCGAGTCAGATTTGGCACAGTACATCAAATAGAGAAACTAATATCTGGTATTCTTTGGGTCTTTCGGTAAAGTCACTTAGAACATGTTTTTTATTTCTACGTGACTTTACTGAAAGACCCAAAGAATATGAAATCCTGCAGTCACGAAAGCTTTGAGTCAAGATTTAATATCTGGTACTCAAGATGTATTACCGAAGCTATCAATAGATGTGTACCAGATTAATTGCTTTTGTGGTAAATGCTATGTTGGGCAGACAGGACGAATGATCAGTATGAGACTAAAGGAACACCAAAGGAATATTAAATACTCCCAAATACAACTGTTGGCAGTGGCGGAACACGCGTGATTTTGATAATGTTGAAGTTCTGTGCAAACTACTGGCCAATAATAATTAGAGAGGCTATTAAAAATTGAGAGAAATACATTTTGTTTAACCTTTCGGATAGCTACATGCTTAGTGCTTCTTGGAAGCAAATAATCAAATAATACATTGTTTAAATGCATGCCTATACGCCAATGGTAGGAGGTACACGAACAATGTGCATGCATAATGCGCAATCCAACCGGTAATGGATACCCATTGTAATGTATACGCAATCATGAATTCCCCCTTTTTGCACGTGAAGGCCTCTCAAGTGACGTTATCACATCTATCCCTCTAAGGAACGAAGCAAGAGAATTTCTCCACAAATGTCTGCCCGCCTGATGATGCTAGTTGTAATTACTAGCGAAACGTCGTACTCAGATTGTAAATGTTGTGGATTTGCTCTCCAACACTGGTGTGCTGTACTAGTAACAAATAAAATTTAGACTGAAAACTTTCGTGACTGTAGGAATTAATATTCTAAAATAATATAAATATAAATTGAAAATTATATCAGCAAAAAACCCACAATAAAAATTGAAACATTTTAAAATAGTAACATTTACAAAATGTAAAAAAATATGTTATTTTCAATTTAAATTCGAAGCTTTCGTAACTGCAGGAATTACACTTTGGATCTTTTGATAAAGTCACGTAGAAAGAAAAATAAATAAATAATAGAATACGCCGTTTCGACTGCAACACAAGCAACCATCATCAGGCACGAATGAATGAGAAAAACAAACAGTCAACTCAGAAATACAATGCAACACAACAGCCAACACCCCACCTGGTTGATCACGTTCTTCCAAAGATTGCTAAATTTGAGAGGACAAAACACAGACACGGAGACACAAAGACAGATACACAAGCAGAGAGAGAACACACACAGAGACATAATCAACCAGGTGGGGTGTTGGCAGTTGTGTTGGCCGACTCTCTGTGTTGTGTTGCATTGTATTTCTGAGTTTACTATGTTTGTTTTTCTCATTCATTCGTGCCTGATGATGGTTTCTTGTGTTGCAGTCGAAACGTCGTATAATATAATTATTTATTTTCTTTCTACGTTACTTTACCGAAAGAACCAAAGAGTATTTTCAATCTATTTTAAAAAAAGATTTACTCTTTTTTAATTTTTATTGTGGATTTTTTGCTTTTATTATTTTCAATGTATTATTTATACTTTTTATTGAAAAAAATATTTCTTATTATATCTTTTTTTGTATCTACGTGACTTTACCGAAAGAACCAAGAATACAGTAACAAATTGTCATGTTTTATTTACGTGACAAACTTTACTAATTGGCTGTCGGGTGGTGGCGGGTTTAACGACACATTTCTATTTACGCGATCTCACCCAAAAAAAACCTGTATTATGAATGTTAAGAATAAGTAGGAATCATTTGACGAAACAATCGCATGAAGTAGTTTTCAAATTAATTAATCCAATGCAATCCCATACTAAAAAGGTGTATTCTAACGCTAATCAACCAGTATTGTCCCATGAACTAAAATAAATATGGCTCCATTGATATCATATTTGTCAGTATTTGCTATTTTTTGGAAAAATACCCCAAAAAATGTTTCATAACTAGATATGTTTTTTTTTTCTATTGCCACCATGCGGTGGCACAATGATCCATCTCTTTGGAGATGGGGTTGGTGGAATATGAAGACTCATTTAAGACAGGTTCCCAGCTTGCATAGTTGGGAAGTATCTACAGAATAGTGAATGGCAGTACAAACAGTTGGGAAGTATCTACAGAATCGTGAATGGCAGTACAAACAGTTGGGAAGTATCTACAGAATAGTGAATGGCAGTACAAACAGCATCAGGAGTGCAGTGAGAATCACCCCTTCGACTGCAGAGGGGGTCGCTACAATGTTGAAGGCAGTGTTTGACGAGATGTGTTAGGGAGGCGGCACCTACCTCGTCAGTTATCATTTGTTTATAACAAGCCCGCCTTAACAGGAAACCTGTCAACAAAGCTTGTTCTCTCAAACATTACCTATCACCATAGCGCAATCCTCAAACATTGCACAGAGCAAACAACGTGACCGACCACCCACCCGCTTACCTTTTGAAAACGTTGCAACTCCAATCGTTTGTTTGGTATTGTTTCTTGTTGTAACTGTCTGACCTGCCCCGACTGGAAATCTGTGAAAAAGAGCTTCATAGCTCATCGGATTTCTGCAGGATGAATAAAGATTATGAGTGACCAGTCCCGCACCCAGCGTGAGTGAACACTGATGAGGGCGACTTGTTTCCATTGCAATACCAAGTCGCAAAACCATTGATTACTGCCATAACGTGAATTGTATGAAACCCATAAATATACAATACCCAGAATATATAACGGAGACCTGTATCATTATTATGTCAGTAGCATACCTTAAATTACCCAAAACACCATCTTAAAGTCCTAACGATCACACCCATGCAGCCCCAGAGCCGCCAGAGGTTCCTCGGGGCTCAGTGGCACAATTACCCTGTTTTCACCCTTGCTGCAACTCCATTTACACATACTCTTTGGTTCTATTGGGTAAAGTCACGTAGGTAAAAAATAAAATAACAATAATAATAACAACAACACAACATAATATAATAATAACATAATAATAACATAATAATACGTGACTTTACCCAATAGAACCAAAGAGTATGGATCCTAGCAGTCACGAAAGCTTTAAATCTAGAATCCATTTGCACAAACGCGTTAACGTGCGTGTGCGTGACCGTGTGTGTTTGTGACCGTGCGTACATGGCACTGATGTGTGCTAAAAGATCTTATTCCTGAGATAAGAGGATCTCATGACGGTAGTTACGGCCGATTGTGCAAGCGGTGCAACTGCACACCGGGCCACGAACAGGACAGGGTCACATTACATTCCCATCACCCACAGGGCTCATGCCAACTTCCCTAAGCCATTGTAGGAGACGGTTAAATGTCTTCTTTGGTTCTTTCGGTAAAGTCACGTAGAATGAGAATAAAATAATAAATTGATAAAATAAAATAACACAATAATATTCTCATGACGTTTCGGCCACAACACAAGCGGCCTTCATCAGGTGAAGGGACGAGACTGTCTGGTAGGACAGCGCTGGAGTGAAAGAGCCACGTTCAGATCACGGCCTTTAAGCTGTGTGAGAGGAACAAAGCGCCTTGACAAAAGAATTAGCATATAATTTAGCATTGAAATGGCTGAATGATTAGCTTGTGACTGGTCACAGAAATAGCTATGTTAAAAGTTAAAGCATACACATCCGCAGAGGCACCCATTGTTAAAGGAATTAGCATAGAATTTAGCATTGAAATAGCTAAGTTAAGGCATACACATCCGCAGAGGCACCCCTTGACAATGGAATTAGCATAGAATTTAGCATTGAAATAGCTGAGTGATTAGCTTGTAACTGCTCACAGAAATAGCTACGTTAAAGTCAGAGCATACACATTCACCGAGGCACTTAGTACAAATCAAACAGGAGAATTTAGCATTGAAATAACTAGGCGAATTTAGCATTGAAATAACTGAGTGATTAGCTAGTGACTGGTCACAGAAATTACTACACATCTGAGCTATTCACAGTACTATATAGTGAACCAATAAAAAACTAAAATATAAATTACCTTAATGTTATCAATAAACTCTATATTCTCCAATCAAATGTCTTTAGGCGGAGCCATCAATTAACATTGTCCAAAATACACCGTCCCGTTTGATACATCTAAAAACTGTTGCGAAGTCAATCCTGACTTTAAAACTATTGTTTTATTTTAGCTGGTTAAGGCCCACTGAGATATATATAAAAAAAAATTCAGAAACGGCAGGGCCACAAATAATAGCTCAACAAAGTGGCTTATCGTGTGGAAATGTAAAGCGGCCAAATACTCTAAATGTATGTTTCTAAATGTGGAAGGCAGAACCGGAGGAAGGGAGAAAAATCCACGCGACCACGGGGAGAGAGAGACACGCAAACTCCAAATATACATGAGCCACGGTCTGGACCGAAACCAAACACAATCTTAAAGCCCAGGCGAGGTAGTTCACATCTCGCCACAGCGGTATGAATTTACCTACATATTGCTTCTCAATTTATACACGACACATTGACGGAGGACAAATGAAACGGACGGTTTGCGGGAACCGCGGTTTAATTTTCACAAATAAAAATACTCGCTGCGAGCAGGGCTCGAACCTGCGCGGGGAGACCCCATTGGATTTCAAGTCCAACGCCTTAACCACTCGGCCATCGCAGCTACACGGAGATCCCCGTGCGCCGAGCTCCCTATAAACACAACGACCCACCGACCAGCTCCCTCTGCTCTCTCAGCCCGCTCGCTATCCAAACTGCGAGACATTCAATCGCGGGCTGAGGAAGCGATGCACGAGGAGGAGGAGGCGGCGGCGGTGAGGAGGAGGATCGCGGCGTGTGAGGAGAAATCAACGCACGGATGGAGGCGAGCGGTGGACGATAGACGTCTGCCGGAAGATGCAGTGGTGGTTTGAAGAGGAAGAAGAAGAGGAAAAAAAACGACAACACGCAAGTCCGCCGGTAGGTGAAGAAGCTGTTTGTTGTAAGTTTCTATTACCGCAGCGATATTTGTCCACAGAGGACGGGTGGGCGGGTGTTTGATGAGGCTTCATTTTTTGTTATTATCGTTATTTTAGCATTTATATACCTTTGTAAGAAGCATCTGCTGCGTGTTTTTTGCGAGTCGACAAGCCAACGTCGTCTCTGTCCGCTAGCAACAAGACACGAGAGTGGTGGTGGGACTGTCGCCCCTTGCAGGAGAAGGCCTCTTGCAGGAGGTGAAGACGAAGCCGAGGGCCGAACTCTTTGTTTCTTTCGGTAAAGTCACGTGGAAAGAAATATAAATGGTAGAGTACGACGTTTCGATTGCAACACCAGCAGCCGTCATCAGGGAGAACTCATTTTGAGAGAGAGAGACACAGAGAGACACAGAGAAAACATACACACAGAGAGACACACAACACAGACACAGAGAGACACACACAACATAGACACACAGACAGACAAGCCGAGAGAGACAACACAGAGACACAGAGAGATACAACATAGACACACAGACAGACACACAAGCAGAGATAGAGACAACACAGACAGAGAGACACAGAGAAAACATACACACAGAGAGACACACACAACAGACACACAGACAGACACACAAGCAGAGAGAGAGACAACACAGAGACACAGAGAGATACACACAACATAGACACACAGACAGACACACAAGCAGAGAAAGAGACAACACAGAGACACACAGAGAGAGACAGAGATAAAACACAGACAGAGACAACACAGACACAGAGAAAACATACACACAGAGAGACACACAGACAGACACAAGCCGAGAGAGAAAACACAGAGACAGAGAGATACACACAACATAGACACACAGACAGACACACAAGCAGAGAGAGAGACAACACAGACAGAGAGACACACACAACATAGACACACAGACAGACACAAGCCGAGAGAGACAACACAGAGACACAGAGAGATACACACAACATAGACACACAGACAGACACACAAGCAGAGAGAGACAACACAGAGACACAAGCAGAGAGACAACACAGAGACACACAGAGAGAGACAGAGAGAAAACACATACAAAGAGAGACACACACAGATACCCAATGCCTCTGTGTCGAGGCCTTAAACAGAGAGAGGGGGTTAGAAGAGAGAAGAGAGAGAGGTGTGGGTCTGCTGGGGCAGCTGCTGGAGCAGAGAAATTGGCAAGTCAATGAATCCACCCCGAAGATCGAATGGCCCGATGAGAGCCTGGTACATTTTAGAGAGGGCCGTCTCAATGTTACTTTGACGAATTCAGTTGGGACGCGTTCTGAAGTGTCCTTTGCTGGTTACGACCGTGACCCAAATGAGAGACACGAGGCACATTGTGCATCATTGGCTGTGCATTGTGGTAGCTTTGTACAGCATGTGAGTATTTATAAATATTGACTCTTTGGATAACTATGAACTGCGGTTTTGTTAAGTAGGTGGGTATAAAGAGGCATTCGTTAAATTGCTGCAGAGATTGCGTTGCGTTTAAAAAGGATGTTTTGCGGATTAATTTTGTAAAGAACGAGGAAATGCTCTCGAAGCTTAAGGCTATTTGGCCTGCCGAGGGAATTAATTAAATCGACACCTTTTTACGGACCCAGAACACTTGACCGTACAAACCCACAGCCACATCGCTTCATTCCGTAAGAAATCCACTCGAAACGCAACGTTAAACAAAACCCCAACGCGGGACGCATCTCCTGGAGGAACCTCGACCGATCACATCCGGAAGAGGCGCGCGAGCTGTCAACAACAACAACAACAAAGTCAGTGGGGGGTGGGGGCTGTTGTTGGTAGTGTTCGACTGGAATCATCACGGGTTGGGTGGGGGGGATTGGGGGGGAGGGGGGAACGGGTTGGGGGGGGGATTGGGGGGAGGGGGGGACGGGTTGGGTGGGGGGGATTGGGGGGGAGGGGGGACGGATTGGGTGGGGGGGGATTGGGGGGGAGGGGGGGACGGATTGGGTGGGGGGGGTTGGGTGAGGGGGATTGGGGGGGGGGTTGGGTGGGAGGGATTGGGGGAGGGGCTCCGTCATGAGTACGGTGACGTCACGCCCAGGTGGGGCCACAGCCCACGTGGATTTTGCTCACAGTAATCTTTTTTGTTGATCATTCAGTTGTTGTCCACGGCCAGCGTCGGATTCCGCGGTTCCGTGGTTCCGTGGTGTGGATCGGTCGTTCATTTGTTTCGGTTTACATATTTATCTATCTTTCGGTGTTCGTGAAAACTGCTCCGATTAATTTCCGTCAAAGAGTTTAGGTTCAGATATAATTTCGTTCGTTTTGGTAATTTGCCGCTGTACTTGAGTGGGATGGATGAGACGTGCGGAGCGGCGACGTTGGTGTGCGGCACAGGTGAGATTGTGAGTGTTTGATGAGTTTGTAAGTGAGCAGGTAGGTGTGAGTATATCGTCTGTGGTTGAGCCGGTACAATGAGTTTGTATGGGGCGTGAGTTTGTCTTGGTGTAGGATGTTGCGTTCAGGTGTCCCGTGAGTTTGTCTTGGTGTAGGATGTTGCGTTCAGGTGTCCCGTGAGTTTGTCTTGGTGTAGGATGTTGCGTTCAGGTGCCCCGTGAGTTTGTCTTGGTGTAGGATGTTGCGTTCAGGTATCCCGTGAGTTTGTCTTGGTGTAGGATGTTGCGTTCAGGTGTCCCGTGAGTTTGTCTTGGTGTAGGATGTTGCGTTTAGGTGCCCCGTGAGTTTGTCTTGGTGTAGGATGTTGCGTTCAGCTATCCCGTGAGTTTGTCTTGGTGTAGGATGTTGCGTTCAGGTGCCCAGTGAGTTTGTCTTGGTGTAGGATGTTGCGTTCAGGTGCCCCGTGAGTTTGTCTTGGTGTAGGATGTTGCGTTCAGGTGCCCCGTGAGTTTGTCTTGGTGTAGGATGTTGCGTTCAGGTGACCCGTGAGTTTGTCTTGGTGTAGGATGTTGCGTTCAGGTGTCCCGTGAGTTTGTCTTGGTGTAAGATGTTGCGTTCAGGTGCCCCGTGAGTTTGTCTTGGTGTAGGATGTTGCGTTCAGGTGCCCCGTGAGTTTGTCTTGGTGTAGGATGTTGCGTTCAGGTGCCCCGTTCCTTCCTAGGTGCTCGCTAACAGCACTTGCCCCAAAAGTATGTTAAAGATTATAGGGGGGGATGCTGATAACGTTTGCGGCAGCAAGGTATATGCGAGTTAATGTGTGCACTGATATTGTGTGTGTAAGTGTAAATGTATGTGTGTGTAAGTGTGAATATACGTGTGTGTAAATGTGAATACATGTGTGTGTAAATGTGTGTGTAAGTGTGAATACATGTGTGTAAGTGTGAATACATGTGTGTGTAAATGTGTGTGTAAGTGTGAATACATGTCTGTGTAAATGTGTGTGTAAGTGTGAATACATGTCTGTGTAGATGTGTGTGTAAGTGTGAATACATATGTGTGTGTAAATGTGTGTGTAAGTGTGAATACATGTGTGTGTAAATGTGTGTGTAAGTGTGAATACATGTGTGTGTAAATGTGTGTGTAAGTGTGAATACATGTGTGTGTAAGTGTGAATACATGTGTGTGTAAATGTGTGTGTAAGTGTGAATACATGTGTGTGTAAGTGTGAATACATGTGTGTGTAAATGTGTAAGTGTGAATACATGTGTGTGTAAATGTGTGTGTAAGTGTGAATACATGTGTGTGTAAATGTGTGTAAGTGTGAATACATGTGTGTGTAAATGTGTGTAAGTGTGAATACATGTGTGTGTAAATGTGAATACATGTGTGTGTAAGTGTGAATACATGTGTGTGTAAATGTGTGTGTGAGTGTGAATACATGTGTGTGTAAATGTGTGTGTAAGTGTGAATACATGTGTGTGTAAGTGTGAATACATGTGTGTGTAAATGTGTGTGTAAGTGTGAATACATGTGTGTGTAAATGTGTGTAAGTGTGAATACATGTGTGTGTAAATGTGAATACATGTGTGTGTAAGTGTGAATACATGTGTGTGTAAATGTGTGTAAATGTGTGTGTAAGTGTGAATACATGTGTGTGTAAATGTGTGTGTGAGTGTGAATACATGTGTGTGTAAATGTGTGTGTGAGTGTGAATACATGTGTGCTCACGGCCGACACCAGTGACGATTATCTGAACCGGTCCTGGGCCACCCCTAGGTCGACTCAGCCTCAAATGAGTACCTGGTGCGGTGTGTAAACATTGCCACTAGGGAGACAAAGGCGGTCGGGCGTGGTGCTGGCCACCCACCCCCTCGTGTACCGTTCCGGCCTTCATAGGTGCTCGCTAACAGCACTTGCCCCTACAGTCTGTTAAGGCTATATGGGGGATCTTTGTCTTTGTCTTGTTGTGTAAATGTGAGTGTGAATACATGTGTGTGTAAATGTGTGTAAGTGTGAATACATGTTTGTGTAAGTGTGTGTGTAAGTGTGAATGCTTGTGTGTGTAAGTGTGAATACATGTGTGTGTAAGTGTGTGTGTAAGTTTGAATACATGTGTGTGTAAATGTGTAAGTGTGAATACATGTGTGTGTAAATGTGTGTGTAAGTGTGAATACGTGTGTATACATGTGTGTGTAAATGTGTGTGTGTAAGTGTGAATACATGTGTATGTAAGTGTGTGTGTAAGTGTGAATGAATGTGTGTGTAAATATGTAAGTGTGAATGCATGTGTGTGTAAATATGTAAGTGTGAATACATGTGTGTGTAAATGTGTGTGTAAGTGTGAATACATGTGTGTGTAAATGTGTGTGTAAATGTGTGTGTAAATGTGAATACATGTGTGTGTAAATGTGTGTGTAAATGTGAATACATGTGTGTATACATGTGTGTGTAAATGTGAAAACATGTGTGTGTGTAAATGTGCGTGTAAGTGTGAATACATGTGTGTGTAAGTCTGAATACATGTGTGTGTAAATGTGTGTGTAAGTGTGAATACATGTGTGTGTAAATGTGCGTGTAAGTGTGAATACATGTGTGTGTAAGTGTGTGTGTAAGTGTGAATACATGTGTGTGTAAATGTGTAAGTCTGAATACATGTGTGAGTAAATGTGTGTGTAAGTGTGAATACATGTGTGTGTAAATGTGCGTGTAAGTGTGAATACATGTGTGTGTAAGTGTGAATACATGTATGTGTGAATGTGTGTGTAAGTGTGAATACATGTGTGTGTAAGTGTGAATACATGTGTGTGTAAGTGTGAATACATGTCTGTGTAAGTGTGTGTGTAAGTGTGAATACATGTGTGTGTAAGTGTGTGTAAGTGTGAATACATGTGTGTGTAAATGTGTAACTGTGAATACATGTGTGTGTAAATGTGTGTGTAAGTGTGAATACATGTGTGTATACATGTGTGTGTAAATGTGTGTGTGAGTGTGAATGCATGTGTGTGTAAATGTGTGTGTGTAAGTGAATACATGTGTATGTAAGTGTGTGTGTAAGTGTGAATGAATGTGTGTGTAAATATGTAAGTGTGAATGCATGTGTGTGTAAATATGTAAGTGTGAATACATGTGTAAATGTGTGTGTAAGTGTGAATACATGTGTGTGTAAATGTGTGTGTAAATGTGTGTGTAAATGTGAATACATGTGTGTGTAAATGTGCGTGTAAGTGTGAATACATGTGTGTGTGTGAATGTGTGTGTGTAAGTGTGAATACATGTGTGTGAATGTGTGTGTGTAAGTGTGAATACATGTGTGTGTAAGTGTGAATACATGTGTGTGTAAGTGTGAATACATTGTGTAAGTGTGAATACATGTATGTGTGAATGTGTGTGTAAGTGTGAATACATGTGTGTGTAAATGTGTGTGTAAGTGTGAATACATGTGTGTGTAAATGTGTGTGTAAGTGTCAATACATGTCTGTGTAAGTGTGTGTGTAAGTGTGAATACATGTGTGTGTAAGTGTGAATACATGTGTGTGTAAGTGTGAATACATGTGTGTGTAAGTGTGAATACATGTGTGCGTAAATGTATGTGTGTGTAAGTGTAAATCTATGTGTAAGTGTGCGAGTGTATGAAAGGTATGCATGTGTGAACAGGCGCGTTTCCTAGGTGAGTGAATGTATGAGGTAGCTTGATGTATTGAGTGTGTGTGTGCGTGGTTAGTGCGTATGCAAAGATCGTGTATTTATTGATGGCATGGATGAGCTGTGTAGTTAGGGGGAGGCCCTATAATGGGTGTGCGAGTCACAAACGGCCGTGTGTATATATTTATACAGGTGTGTTTCTCATTATTATTGTCCTGGCGTAGGAGTCCAGCTTAGTAATATTGTGTCGGTGTGTATATAGGTGTAGTTTAATACATTGGTGTGTGTATAAAGAGGTGTATCTTGCTATATAATTAATTATTGTATAGCTGTGTACATAGGTGTCTCGCTATATATGTGTATTGATAAATAGGTGTATGCAGGTGTGTCTTGGTAAAACAGTATTGTACAGGTGTGTCTTAGTGATATTGTATAGGGATGTATATATAGATAGTGTTTGCATGTAGACGTATCTGTTAAAGTTAATAATTGCGTAAGCTTGTCTACATATGCTAAGGTATAGGTGTGCGTGTGTTCCCCTGCTGTGTTCTTTGCAAGCCATCTGGCTACCATGAGAGATTCGTTCATGAGGCTATCCACATATACAAACACAGACAATTTCAACCGAGAAGATGAATTCTGGCTTAGCAATCATTGTAAGGATTTGATAAACCATTTCGGGTCTTAATTGATTGATCATGCTTAAGGTGGCTTTCAGACCGCATCCATTATTTTCGTGTCCCCCCTCTTTTCCGAACATAGATGGACT